GTTTTTCAACAGAATCAGCGGAATGAATACACCCCTGATCACGCATAAACACAGCTCACTTTCATAGTTGCCACGTTGTATTCATTCTCGCATCTATGCGCTCTCCTCTCACCTCTTCCCTTCGCTTGTGGACTTCAATGCCCAACACATCAGTTGTATGTGACCAGGTGAAAAAACCTTTCCAAGCCAAAACCGCTTCACAGAGCCTACATCGTTGTCACCATATTTGCTAAAGTAATGTCATAGTCAGCATAGCTAATAGAACTAACACGTTAGTAAACCCGCTACAATCATACAGTAATGTTACAGAGTACAGTCAGTAAGCCGTTACACTGGTGGGCCCCGGTGGCAATAAATGAGTATAACCAAAAGCTTACCTTGACTTGGAAGAGTTCCAGTGTTGTGTTGGAAAGTTATAAACAGCTAGCTAACATAGCGTCCCTCTGTTTGAGCAGGGTGTTCCAGTAGGCTAAACTAGCTAGCTTCATTTGCTAGCTAAGTAACGTTAAGTGAAACTGAAAAAAAAAGAGGAAATCTCTGTCTCTCTTGCTTCTCTTTCATTTTGGAAGAAATGAATTTGTTCAAAACTGTTCAACTACTGTCGTTCTCTCTCTTTGAGTCAACTACTCACCGCACTACTTTATGCACTGCAGTACTAGCTAGCTGTAGTTTATGCTTTCAGTACTAGATTATCTGATCCTTTGATTAGGTGGACAACATGTCAGTTCATGCTGCAAGAGCTCTGATAGTTTGGAGGACGTCCTCCGGAAGTCATAATTACTGTGTAAGTCTATGGAAGGGGGTGAGAACCATGAGCCTCCTAGGTTTTGTATTGAAGTCAATGTACCCAGAGGAGGACGGAAGCTAGCTGTCCTCGGGCTACAGCATGGCGCTACCCTACAGAGTGCTGTTGACGCTACTGTATACCTTCTTTGCAAAATAGTGTTTCAATCAATTATTTGGTGACATGATTATATTTAGTATACAGTGGGGGAAAAAAGTATTTAGTCAGCCACCAATTGTGCAAGTTCTCCCACTTAAAAAGATGAGAGAGGCCTGTAATTTTCATCATAGGTACACGTCAACTATGACAGACAAAATAGAAAAAAAATCCAGAAAATCACATTGTAGGATTTTTAATGAATTTATTTGCAAATTATGGTGGAAAATAAGTATTTGGTCAATAACAAAAGTTTCTCAATACTTTGTTATATACCCTTTGTTGGCAATGACACAGGTCAAATGTTTTCTGTAAGTCTTCACAAGGTTTTCACACACTGTTGCTGGTATTTTGGCCCATTCCTCCATGCAGATCTCCTCTAGAGCAGTGATGTTTTGGGGCTGTCGCTGGGCAACACGGACTTTCAACTCCCTCCAAAGATTTTCTATGGGGTTGAGATCTGGAGACTGGCTAGGCCACTCCAGGACCTTGAAATGCTTCTTACGAAGCCACTCCTTCGTTGCCCGAGCGGTGTGTTTGGGATCATTGTCATGCTGAAAGACCCAGCCACGTTTCATCTTCAATGCCCTTGCTGATGGAAGGAGGTTTTCACTCAAAATCTCACGATACATGGCCCCATTCATTCTTTCCTTTACACGGATCAGTCGTCCTGGTCCCTTTGCAGAAAAACAGCCCCAAAGCATGATGTTTCCACCCCCATGCTTCACAGTAGGTATGGTGTTCTTTTGATGCAACTCAGCATTCTTTGTCCTCCAAACACGACGAGTTGAGTTTTTACCAAAAAGTTCTATTTTGGTTTCATCTGACCATATGACATTCTCCCAATCCTCTTCTGGATCATCCAAATGCACTCTAGCAAATTTCAGACGGGCCTGGACATGTACTGGCTTAAGCAGGGGGACACATCTGGCACTGCAGGATTTGAGTCCCTGGCGGCGTAGTGTGTTACTGATGGTAGGCTTTGTTACTTTGGTCCCAGCTCTCTGCAGGTCATTCACTAGGTCCCCCTGTGTGGTTCTGGGATTTTTGCTCACCGTTCTTGTGATCATTTTGACCCCACGGGTGAGATCTTGCGTGGAGCCCCAGATCGAGGGAGATTATCAGTGGTCTTGTTTGTCTTCCATTTCCTAATAATTGCTCCCACAGTTGATTTCTTCAAACCAAGCTGCTTACCTATTGCAGATTCAGTCTTCCCAGCCTGGTGCAGGTCTACAATCTTGTTTCTGGTGTCCTTTGACAGCTCTTTGGTCTTGGCCATAGTGGAGTTTGGAGTGTGACTGTTTGAGGTTGTGGACATGTGTCTTTTATACTGATAACAAGTTCAAACAGGTGCCATTAATACAGGTAACGAGTGGAGGACAGAGGAGCCTCTTAAAGAAGAAGTTACAGGTCTGTGAGAGCCAGAAATCTTGCTTGTTTGTAGGTGACCAAATACTTATTTTCCACCATAATTTGCAAATAAATTCATTAAAAATCCTACAATGTGATTTTCTGGATTTTTTTTTCTCAATTTGTCTGTGATAGTTGACGTGTACCTATGATGAAAATTACAGGCCTCTCTCATCTTTTAAAGTGGGAGAACTTGCACAATTGGTGGCTGACTAAATACTTTTTTTCCCCACTGTAGTTTTATCTAAAAAGGATAACTTTTTTAATTTTTTGCAATTTTTTTTTTAATGAAATTCACTGAGGAGGATGGTCCTCCCCTTCCTCCTCCACTGCACTCTACACACACATTCATACTGACTCTATACACACACAATCATCATATACGCTGCTGCTACTCTGTTTATCATATATGAGTGGTCCTCTGTAGCTGAATTGGTAAAGCATGGCGCTTGTAACGCCAGGGTAGTGGGTTCGATCCCCGGGACCACCCATACCTAAAAATGTATCCACACATGACTGTAAGTCGCTTTGGATAAAAGCGTCTGCTAAATGGCATATTATTATTATTATTATTATTATTATTATTATTATTATATATCCTGATGCCTAGTAACCTTACCGCTATACATATCTTATCCTACCACCCCAGTATCCCTGCACATTGTAAATATGGTATTGGCACTGACCCTGGATATAGCTAGCTTACTTTCTTGTGTTCTTCTTATTTCTATTTCTGTGTTTTTTTGTTTTACTTGACTTATTTTTTTTACTGTAGCTAATACATAGGGATATGAGTCATAGGCTAAGACCCAGAGTTTTCACCTATTCAGAAAAACGATGAGTGTCCAGCTATAACCCCTACTCCCAAAGCACTTGAGGTGAATTTAAAGGATTAGATGGGTAATATTCATACAGAAGTAGCACCACTGTGTCCTCTGATAGGACAGATGGAATTTTCACCATATTGCTTACCTATCCAAGCAATTCATATTTACACACGTTTAGGCCCCGTGTAGCTCAGTTGGTAGAGCATGGCGCTTGCAATGCCAGGGTTGTGGGTTCGATTCCCACGGGGGGCCAGTATGAAAAATGTATGCACTCACTTAACTGTAAGTTGCTCTGGATAAGAGCATCTGCTAAATGACTAAAATGTAAATGTTTCATTCCATGGAGGGCCTAGTATCTGCTGGTTTTCCCCTTTCAATTAAGACCTAGACAACCAGGTGAAGGGAGTTCCTTACTAATTAGTGACCTTAATTCATCAATCAAGTACAAGGGAGGAGCGAAAACCTGCAGACACTCGGCCCTCCATGGAATGAGTTTGACACATCTCTGGGTTGTTTCTGGACAGGGCCTGGGTGACATGACTGAATCCTGTTAGATTGGTAATCTGCACTTCCGGGTACGTCCACAACCGAGAACAATTACCCACAGAGCATAATACATGACCCTGAAATCAGTCAGTGATGAGATTCAAGAAAAAGTGATGACTACAACAGCAGTGTATTTAGCCATGTCACAGGAATATTTTACCAGCTCATGTCTGAAACAGACCTTGATCTATGCTGCCACCTGTTGCTTTGATAGATTACTACTACTGCTACTAAGTAGAACCACCTTGTTTCATCCATTAAATGATGTAGCCTACTACACTATACTTTGCACTACCTACACTTCCCTTATGGGCAGCATTAGTCATTCATGATTTAAATTAAACACATATGAGCTGCATGTAAACTGCATGACAAGCAAAGTAGCGAACAAGGAAAGTAAAGCTTTCAAGTATTTATTCCACAAACATAGCAAAATACATATATACAAAAATACACAGTTGGACCATAGTTAAGGTAAAAAAAAAAAGCATAAACAGTTTCAAGAATATTTCATGTAAAATGACAACTAAAATGTATTCAAGCATAATGCCTGAATTTCTCCATGTCCAGTTGTTGATTACGATGAGCAGCCGCAGCACAGTACTTGCTCATACTGGCCACTGTAACTGAGGAGAAGAGGATATAGAGAAAACAATGAGTAACAAGCTAAATAAAGTGCAATATAATCCAAAAGCAGGCTACATTTCAATGTACGTGCTCTGCACTGCTTGCTTAATCAAAAATGTTGCATACTATTGTAGCGACCATCATGGACAGTTATATGCCTGTGTTATATTTTGTTGTATTGTTGTCAGTGCTCATTTACCCAGTTACACAGGGTTTCGCAGTCAACCTGCTGTCTGCCAACCACAGGAATGCCTGGAATGTTTGTGCCAGGAGTCCTTGTGGTTGGTTGAGCCACAGAGGGTTGGGCACTGCAAGTTCTGTTATTTGACCATGCTGTCCATTGTTCTGCCTCTTTTGTATGTCCTGACAAAGTGAGCTACCTGTTGATTTTATTACAGATTTATTTGGCGTAGGCTACAGCCATACAGTAGCCTGTGAGAGTGTTGAGAATAAACTGTTTTATTTCAATCGAGAACTCGATCTTCTATTCTGGACATTATTTAATGTACGACTTCCTGAGGTCATTACACTATGATAGTGGAATAGTAGTAGATGCTGTGCTTGCTGATTTTACCCAAAACAGAAGAGATGCTCCCTCTGACTAGAGTAAAATCGGATGAAAGGAGAAGGGTGAGGAGTGTCACTTACTCCATGACGGTGCAGACAGAGCAACAGAGGCTGGAGCAGTTGGAGCACTGCTGGGTGCAGGAGGGGCAGGCTGGGCGGTCACACTGGGAGCACTGCCTCCTGGTCCCCTGGGCCTTCTGACACACACAGCACCCCTTTGGAACCAACGCAGCACCTGAGACACCCACACAAAGTCGGATGTCAGAGATTTCCAGGTTCCCAGTTGTCTTGAACGTGGCATAAAGCTAAAGGTGTCAAACTCATTACACAGAGGGCCAGGTGTCTGCGGGGTTCACACTACTCCCTTGTACTTGATTGATCAATTAAGGTCAATGACTAGTTAGAAACTCCCCTCACCTGGTTGTTTAGCTCAATTGGACACGAATTGAAAGGAAATAAAAACTAGCCAGTGGCGGCCGCTGATTGGCTGAATACTCGGGGCGCAAGGTGGTTGGAGTTGTCAACAAAGCAGCATGAAAGAAATATGATGACAAGTTTTCGAACTACTGGTAGTTTCTTTGAGAAGATATATAAAGCGATCTGTGCATTTGAACAGCATAGATACACCCATTCATTTCACTTTTTCATGTCAAAAACCGAATGCCCACTGCTGCCCCTGTTTTGAACAGAGTAGATTATACCATTTAGAACGAGCAGCCAGCTCACGTCACGAACACACCAGGGAGAACTCAACAAGCATGCAGATGCAATAAGTGAAAAGATCTCACTGGGGATAGCTAGCTAACAATGTCACAAAGCATGATGCGCTGCTAGCCAGTTAACTTTGATTCTGAAATAACTTCATATTTCCGAGTTAGATATTAGTTTACAAAGACTTGAATTGGCATGGGAGCTAACTAGCTAGCAAGCTTCCAGCTTATCAAAAGGTAGATAACTGGCTAATTTGACCAAAATAAAATAAGAAGTCTACCAAACTGTTTCTCAAAATTACTGTAGCTGGCTAATTCATTTGATAATGCTTTGTGATACACCCGGTTTTATGCTGTTTTAGTCCACACAACATGTCACCCTGTCACCAACAGTAGAACCTGATGAACAACATGGGGGAAACAAAATTGGCCATGCATTTTGTCCTACCAGAACCGAGATGAGATGGTTCTAGCAAGTGTATCCCTCTGTCCTTCAACTCTTGTTGGATGTAGTTGTCCGGTTTATCTGGGCCCATGCTCCCATTTTTTTTTTTAAACCAATCACAAGTGAGGCACCGCCCCTAACGCACAAATGGGCGGGCCGCCACTGAAACCAGCAGACATTCTGCCCTCCATGAAATGAGTTTGACACCCCTGTACTAAAGAGTCTAATCATTTTATTTTTGAAGTTGGAATGGTGATTCCAATTCTGACAGGAATGGTTTCCCTTCAGTTCATTCTCAGATGTGGGTAAAGGTTGCAATTCACCTGAGAAGCTTATTACCTTGGACAGGTGTAAGTCTGCCATCCTGTCCAATCAGTGTCTGGCTCACATTAGGTGTCACACCTGGCCCCGAAGGCTGTATCGTTGAGCACTTCTCCTCTGTATCTACATTCCAGATTTTCCCCATGACAGCTTTGGTACTATTGAAGAGCAGGTTCTTTGTCTTTTCTGGAAGAGAGAGGCAGAGATAAGCACATAGCAGATTGAAGACAGTAAAGGCGTCCCCATGTTTCCCAGCTGAAACAGTTTGGAACAGTTTGAGCATATATTATGATGACATGTTGGACTTTAGCCATGTTTTTTTTCCGGGTGGTCGGGCACACGTTTTAATCTAGGCAAACCGAAGTCGGTAGGCGAAGTTTACGCCCCCCATAGTCGGCGATTGGTCAACAGTAGGGATTCTTCAAAAAGTGCCCGTTGTCATTCAACGAGAGACGACTCGTCCTCATGCACATTTTTTCACTTGAGAAATACTGCACCAAACAACCTAGTCAGATGCAAAATTGCGCGACTAAGATATTCTCTGCAAAAACGTCAAAATTGACAGATTTCTTGATTTATTTTATATTAATTCTGACTATTTTGCCTACGGCGTCTCAAAATGGACATACAGTACTATTGCCGCTTTCTAATTTTTCAAGTGACGGTCTTTTAAGGGAGTATGCGAGCACACTCGTTCGGTTCGCCTAGCCGAGCTCTACGCCAGCTGAACTGAAGCATGCTGACATCTTAATATTCCCAGAAGCTTGACATTACGGTCTTTGACTAGGTGACAGTTAAACACCATAATTAGGGTGTTAGGTGATGAGACAAACAATGGACGCTATGCGAGAATTCTATTAGACACGAAAAAAACATCAGGTTACAAAGTAGAGTTTCGTAGCTACATTTTGGGTTGTCAGGGATTGGTCCAAATTCACGTTCCGACATCCCCATTTCCATGACGAGTGCTAGCTTGCTAGCTGTGTGGGAAACTGTGGCAATAGGCAGCGCTGCGCTGCATTGGCTTTATTGTGCCAGCGGCGTATTGTGTGATTGATGGTTTTATTATATAAAGTGAAAAGTACCAGAATTCAGTGGCTACAGCGCTACAAACTAAAAAAGCATAGATAAATACCAGTGAACTGAAAATGTGTCCCATCTATCTTGCCGTGCAGCTGGCTATCAGGCAGCTCACCTGCTCCTGAGACTAGGCTAATTATTTACATTTACGTCATTTAGCAGACGCTCTTATCCAGAGCGACTTACAAATTGGTGCATTCACCTTATAGCCAGTGGGATAACCACTTTACAATATGTTTATTTATTTTTTGGGTGGGGTAAGGGGGGGAGGGGGGGGTTGAAGGATTACTTTATCCTATCCCAGGTATTCCTTAAACAGGTGGGGTTTCAAGTGTCTCCGGAAGGTGCTGGGAAAAGTGCAGTTTATCCTCCCATCACATGAGTAACACCAGAAATAACATTACAATGTAACCCAACTCGGGTGTAGACCTAACTTAGAAGTAAGCTATGTTATTCGACTAGTGTATCCTTCTGTGTTACAGTACAGACTTGGTGAGAAGTGTGAGTCTGTGTTAGGCTGTGTGTGGGGGTGCTGTGTGTGAGGCGTGCTGGTGGGGGTGCTGTGTGTGAGTACTGTGAGTGTGGCGTGCAGGTGGGGGTGCTGTGTGAGTGTGTGTGGTGTGCTGGTGGGGTGCTGTGTGAGTGGCGTGCTGGTGGCGTGCTGTGTGTGTGGCGTGCTGGTGCATCTGTTAGGCTGTGATTGTGTTGGTATCGTGTGAGTGTATGCAGGTGGCATAGGCACAGGATTGGGTGTATTATTTGGCACTCTAGTCCTAATCAGTTGGGCTACTGAATACAACACAACTGGTAAATAGTATCCATGCTTTTTGTTCATGATCTTGTAATCTGCACCGGTACCCCACTGTATATAGCCTCCCTACTGTTATTTTATTTTACTTCTGCTCTTTTTTTCAACACTTTTTTTCAGCATGGTTGGTTAAGGGCTGTAAGTAAGCATTTCACTGTAATGTCTACACCTGTTGTATTCGGCGCATGTGGCAAATAACATTTGATTTGATTCACTTAGCTAGAGTAATGATCCATACCTGTTATTTGTCTGTTAATAAAGTTAGACTTTTAGCTAGCTAGACATCTACACTGAACAAAAATATAAACGCAACATGTAAAGTACTGGTCCCATGTTTCATGAGCTGAAATAAAAGATCCCAGACATTTTCCATACACACAAAAAGCTTATTTCTCTCATGTTGTGCACAAATGTGTTTACATCCCTGTTAGTGAGCATGTTATCCTTTGTCAAGATAATCCATCCACCTGACAGGTGTGGCATATCAAGAAGCTGATTAAACAGCGTGATCATTACACAGGTGCACCAGCTCTGGGGCCAATAGAAGGCCACTAAAATGTGCAGTTTTGTCACAACACAATGCCACAGGGATGTCCACCAGAGCTGTTGCCAGATAATTTAATGTTCATTTCTCTACCATAAGCTGCCTCCAACTTCGTTTTAGAGAATTTGGCAGTATGTCCAACTGGCCTTACAACCACCCCTGCCCAGTTATGTGAAATCCATAGATTAGGGCCAAACTAATTCATTTCAATTGACCGATTTCCTTATATGAACTGTAACTCAGAATTATTTTTTGAAATTGTTGCATGTTTAGTTTATTTTTGTTCAGTACAGTAACATTAGTGGCTACCTGGAAATAGTCAAAGGCAAAAACAAGCTGCCGATCGTGGGTGGATATAGCCAGCTAACTAAATTATCAAGTAATAAAAGGACATTAACATTGTGTAGCTAGTTAGTTGTTGTAACCTAGCTAGCTAACATTAGCTAGCTAGTTTGTACAGCTAGCTAAACAACAGCAAACGGAGTAGGGCCAGCTAGCTAACGTTAGCGAATGACCTGAAGAATTGGTTAGCCAGACAGTTATTTCAGACAGCAAACCTTACCGTACATTTCTTGTCTGTACTTGTTCCCAAATACGCCGTGATTATTCAACTCCTTTTGTCCAATGTGAATTTTATACTGCGATGAGAAAGATTCTGCGAAAGGATAAGATCTTTTAGTCATTTTGGCGAAGAACGTGCGTCCAAGAAAAATTGCTTGCAAAGCAACGCGGGGAAAATAATCACTAGCGCGCGAACTAACCAATCCGATCGTTGACCTCTTATCACGTGACTTAAATTTTTTACTCAAACCACATGTGCAAGCTTTTGAATATTTATGTTGCAGTGTGTTACAATAAGCACGATTATTGTAGATAGTCAGATTCATATAATAGTTCGTTTGCTCCAATAATCCTGTTTACATGGACACATCTGAAATCAGGCTACTGATGGGACTTTTGATAAATGCAGAAAATCGCCAAACAAAATAAACGTTCTACCACATTGACAATGTTATTTTTGCGAAACCTTTTTGATTCTGTGTTCGGACATATAAAGTTGGTTTGGGGATGGGGAATTGACGGGGAGGTTTTTGGGGGTCTTGGATGATTGGGGGGCAGTTCTAAGGGGGAACTGTCCACCGTTTACCTTCACTTTTGGATAGACCAGAGTCTTAGATATGCAGTATTACAAAATGTTCTTCCCCCTTTATACCTTACGTGGCAACGCAGGAAATTTGATAGCGCACAGAGCTGCGGGCCGGAAGGTTGTGGGTTCGCAGACCACCGATGGACGAGAGAAGTGGTGGAAAGATCCCCTTTATAGTAAAAGCATTGGATGAATCTATCATCATATTTGCAGGTCCGAGAAAAAATAGCCTTTTATAAACATTTAATGCAATTCTATGTCATGAAACATATTAGCAAAATATATTTTAATACCACACAAATTACCAAAATTACAGGCTAAGAATGGACAGAGAGCTAAGCCTATGTGATAATTTTATAATATTTCTCCAATGCCAAATCAATGTGTCCTGTTTCCAACAAAAATGTCCCTATTTGCAAATAATTAATAATTAAATCTGAGACATCAAGTTGCAGCCTGGTCTTGTAGACTAGACGTAACATAGTAAACGTAAACCCGGGACGCACAAATTAGTATGATGTGTTATGTTCATTATGGTTACATAAGACAGATGGTTAGTTAAGGCAAAAATGAAAGTAGGGTGGTTTGTTGGGGTGGATGGGTAGGCGTATAATGCGAACATCTAGCAATCCAAAGGTTGTGAGTTTGAATTTCATCACAGACAATTTTACCTAATTAACAACTTTGCAACTACTTAGCATGTTAGCCAACCTGTCCCTTAACCCTTTTAGCTAACCTTTCCCCTAACCCTAATGTAACCATTTAACCTAACTCCTAAACTTAAACTTAACCCTAACCTTAACCCTTACCCCTAACCCCTAGCCTAGCTAACGTTAGCCACCTAGCTAGAATTTGTAACATAACATATGTTTTGAAAATTCGTAACATATTGTATGTTTTGCAAATTTGTAACATGTAATACGAATTGTAATTCAGAACATATCATACATAATGAGTGATGGACATCCACAAATGAATACATACCATACGAAACGTAACATATCATACTAAATGGAGTGTCTCGGATTTACATACAGAATAATACGAAATGCTCTGAGACCAGGTCAGCAGCAATCTGAGGATGGTACATTCAAAAGTTAGGCCTACCTTTCCACCCCAGACAGAGTAAGCCTACAGACACAGTAAAATGTAATCTTTAACTGCTGGCTACTCTTCTTCCGTGGCTTAACCCAATGAGAGAAGGCCACAGTGTTTCCCTAAAAACTGTCTGGGATTAAATATCTTCCATTGTACAGAAAGTGAATAGCTTAATTGATAGTGACAGAATTAGATTACTTCCCAGCAAAGTCAATTTTTGGACTCCTTGGCTATAGAAGGTTTTAGCTCACGGTCTGAATGTCAAAGAAACTAAACAATGATATCCCCATATGCATCGAGGTTATGTCTTTCCCGGGTATGTTACAGCTTGTTTCTAGCATAAAGCATCGCGGACCAAAACACTGTTATAGATCACTTCATATAATTGGATCCGTTTTATTTTCTTCAAAATCTTAAGCTAACAAGGGGTAGGCCTGTCCTTTTTAATAAAAGGTAGGCAGCCGCACGCCTATGGCATACCCTCTCATACCCTCTCAATTCGAGTCTTGGTTTTAACTTAACAGCCCTTCACTGACAATGGCATAGGCCATTTAAAGAGTGCATGGTGGGTGGAGGAATTGACCGACAAATTGAGGTAGGCCAAACAGGTAGGCATACGTCTTATTTCTCAAATAGGAAGAAATAGGCTCTAACACAAAGCCCTCTTGTTGTTAGTCTAATTAAAATGAAGATGGTTGAAATGAATTATGCCTACTCGAATTGACCTACTTTCAGCACCATGAACTGTCCACTTCCGACTGATTGTGCCACGACTGCTGCTTCAAATTTCATCCCCACAATGTAAGTTACTCGAATCTAGCTTATTGTGAGGTCAATAACTCTGATAAATACATCATGGACAAAAAACATATTGTTTTTATTAAAATCAGTTATAGTAGTAGCAAGGTAACAAAGTTGACCTCCGGTCCTCATCATCTTCACGCTCTCCTCCTCAAACAAAACAGAACATAGGCTATAGGCTAGTCTGCGCGCAAGATAGTGCATTTTTTGGACTAGCCGTAATCTAAATTTATTTTTGGAAGAGGCCTTTGACTCTCCTCCTGAACTGCCACCATAGGCCTACACAGGACAGCCATTGGTTAGGCAGCACACAAAAACGTTTTTGATCAGCAAGAGCAGAGCAGGCCGGGGCTCTGGGTTGGAATATCCATTGCAGTGTGTAATGCTGCCTATTTTTATTTACATCATCCCAGCAGCTATCTTAGAAATATAACTTTGCTATGTGCTTCTCCGAGCATGCAATTCGTAGCCTATAGCTTATAAGCTATGGATCCTTTGATTGAGACCACACTAAATAGCCTATAGACGCACTTGATATTGCGCGCCCAGCGGAGAATCAAGGTTGAGGGGTGGCATCGGGCACACATCGATGTACAGCCTAACAAGCAACTCATTCTAAAACACTGAGAAATATTGAAATTTCATCAATTACAAATTACATGACCCTTCCCTAGACTAGATTTTAAAAATACTAAGCCCTCCCCTTGACTGAAATTGAAAAAGCATGACCCTCCCCCATTTTCCTCTAGGTACCCATTATGTACATTTCTATCCATCCCTAAAGAAGACCGAAAACATAAGGCAGGTAACATTACTCATGAGGAAAAGTTATTGGATATGTTTTTTTCTTTCAGGGTTGTTGTGTGGCACAAGGTAATATTTACAGCTGGGTCAGTCATAGGACTTTCTGGCAGACATCATTACAAGGCAATTTACTGATGACAAGCACTGCATAGATAGATGTAAAGTTACCAACATTTCCAGTCAACATTGTTTCAAGGCTACACATATCTGTTGGCAACAGGTTTTACAGAATATTAGATCGTTTGAGGTTTGCAAAAATATGTCACATCAAGCCACATCTCGTCCATCAATATGTATCCATCTTAGGGAGAGAAGAGATAAAGTCTCTAGAACATCTGGATCATGCACTCTCTGGACTTTCCGATGCCGACCCACTTAACTGTAGAGAGAAATGACAAAGGACATGTCAAAAAACACTCACAAATCCCCCAAAAACGTTTGCACTAGACTTGCAGAATTGGGTACTAGTTATAAAATAGCCAATAGTGCCCCCTACTGGCACATTGAAGCCATGTCCCTGGACCAAAGTTGGCTCTTCAGTTTCCCATTTAGGGGTCAGTATGCTGGACTATGGTATGGTTGTAGCTGGTAAAACTGGGTCACGTTAAGTAGGCATTCCACTGAAGAAAATATTTTGAAATGTGGTGAAATGGAGAAGATATTACTATGACCTATATGCCTACTTGTTCAATAAGAAGGCTTATTTTTCTTTTCAGTTTGTGCCCTACTGAAGATGAGCCTGCTGTCAGCAGGAACTACCTGTATCCTATATGTAACTTACTGGGTACTCCAATGTGGTTCTCAACAAAGCGGATGTAGTTCTGAGCCTTCTGGGGGAGATCATTCCACTTCCTGGCTGCAGACGTATCACTCTTCCAGCCTGGGAAGGTCTCATATTCTACCTCCACTTTGTGCAACAGCTCCATGTTAGCTATGTGAATGAAGGTTGAAGATAATTATTAATCAGAGGAGAAATCAAATGTTTGTAGAGATAATACTAATGTCTCTTTTACAGTGTAGGCCTAGTGTGGTACAAGTAGGCCTACTTTTTAATCAATCAATAAAGTTGAATTTAGAGAGCATACCTGGGAAATGGGGAATTATTTTGCCATTGATTTTGTAGGACACTCCTACTTTGATCTCATCCAGCACATCAAGGATGTCAAGTTTTGTCAAAGCAATGCTGTTAGGAAACAATGTTATTTGTTTAACACATTTGAGAAAAGAGAGGAAAACTACTACATTAATTACATTCAGACTAGCAGTCACAGGCAGAGACAGTACATTGAACCTGTCAGATAAAAATTTAAATATGGGCAGATATTCAAAAAGAGTAAGGTTTGGCCGCCTGCCTTTCAGTCCTATCCACTCACGCAGTGAAGCCATTGATCATGTGGGCGTATCTCAGGATGACCAGGTCCAGCCAGCCACAACGACGCTTCCTGCCTGTGGTCACGCCCACCTCATGACCTCTCGTCTGCAGCAGCTCACCTGTCGCCTGCACAAAACACACTCAGTTATCTAGAATAGATCACTTGATTAATCAATATTCAATGTTGGGTACTAATCTTAATGTTTTTTATTAATAAAATGTTATAAAATGCTTAGTAAACCAATAGATTTACAGTTGGAGTGAGGGATCAAGCTAAAACATGTTGAACAGCAGCCCCATGGACAGTTCTCATGTTAGGTAACATAACCCCAGACCAGACAGTAAATCTATATTGAACCCTGACTCTCTACCCTAAATTTAGGCCCTGAACATGTGATCAGCAGGAGAGCTAAAGTGTGTTTTAACAGGCCTCTCACACAATCTGACAGCTGGCCACACAGGCAGTGCATTTTGAGAACAGGCTTCCTACATGTGTGAGGGTCATGTGATCTTAAACACTAGGCTTACTATACATATCCAACTCTACTTGTACCTCAAAAGAAAACAACATGTCTAAACAAACTGCAAGAGAGTGACTTAGGCACTGTAAATATCAAACTACAAAATGCAGTATAACCTCTGCTAAGAGGCCTTCACCTTTATGGCACAGGTGATAGTGCACACTCTCACTCAAGGTCACTGGTTCAAGTCTTGCTCTGGCTGTTCCCCTTTAATCGTTACAGTAGCATCTCCTTATTGAGAGTAAGGCAAGAGTCAGAAATGTCCAGATAGATGAAAGAGATCTTACATTGAGCTGTTCTGTGGGGAAGGCGCCAATGCCTACCCTGGTGGTGTAGGCCTTTGATACACCATACACTTCACCAATATTCAGGGGAGGGATGCCAAGACCAGTGCATGCCCCACCAACGGTGCAGTTTGATGAGGTCACAAAAGGATATGTGCCTAAAGGGAAGAGAGAAAGTGGGAATTAAACTTACATACAGATGAGTTGTCCATTTAACCATCAAACTTTCCTGTCTATCTCATCATTGGCACAATCCTCAATGGGACTATGATATTTCTTACCAAAGTCAATGTCGAGGAGGGCAGCATTGGCCCCTTCCACCAGAATTTTCTTTGGGGGTCCATGAAGAGCCTCATACATGTAATAGACTCCATCTCGCACCATCGGCCGCAACCTCTCTCCATACTCCTGCACAATACAAGACAAAAAAAGTTGTATAGGTCTAATATATCCATAGCCCATGACTATTCATTCAGAGGAGATTTACCAAATACCTTCAATTTTTTCAGCTGAGTTTCAGTATCAACTGTCAGGGATGAGTACATGGACTGGTACTGCGCGACAAGGTTCTTGAATCTGAAAGAAACCCCCAAATCATCTCAATCTCTATTACTGTTCACTTTAGTGGGTCAATTTAGTTCAAGAGCAAAGTCTCAAAAGAGCCACAATCATGTACTGTTGGACTCTAAAAATGTTTGTTGTATGTGAGGTTTAAATGTGTATATGGTCCCGTGTAGCTCAGTTGGTAGAGCATGGTGCTTGCAACGCCAGGGTTGTGGGTTCGATTCCCACAGGGGACCAGTATGAAAAAGTATGAAAATGTATGCACTCACTAACTGTAAGTCGCTCTGGATAAGACCGTCTGCTAAATGACTAAAATGTATATTGTGTCCTGTCTGTCAGTAAGCATACTTGGTAGAGAACTCTTTGAAGTCTCCCAGCAGGTCACAGACACGCAGTCCAATGCGAGATGCTTTGCTGGTATAGGTGGGTCCAATGCCTTTCTTGGTCGTTCCAATACTGTCATGAGGAAAAACACCTGTTTTAGCTGAGGGGATTACAAAGTAGAATCTGCAATTTTTCATCAGATGTGGAAGTGATTTTTTTAGTGGGTGCTTATATTTGTCCTACTATTAATATGCATGTGTGAATTGGAAATGTGTTTTTTGCATATCCCAACTCCCCCTGAGATTGGGGTCACGGCCAGAGTCAGCCATTATCAATGGCAACCCTGGAGAAATCAGGGTTAAATGCCTTGCTCAAGGGCACATCGGCAGATTTTTCACCTTGACGGCTCGGGATTCAACTAGCGACCTTTCGGTTACTGGCCCAACGCTCTAGCCGCTAGGCTACCTTCTGCTTGACTGAAGTCTCTATTGACAGTGACCCATTGTATTCCCTTACCCTATGTAAGAAACCATTGCCTTCCCTACCCTTACATCTTTCCCTCTGTTGCTTGTCGCTGGGTCTCCTGAATTCCATCCACAACCTGGTGGAAATCAAACACTGTCGAAAGATCAAAGCAAAATAAATGTCAACCTTTCTCTAAGCACAATACAAAGATATACAGTGGGGGAAAAAAGTATTTAGTCAGCCACCAATTGTGCAAGTTCTCCCACTTAAAAAGATGAGAGAGGCCTGTAATTTTCATCATAGGTACACGTCAACTATGACAGACAAATTGAGGGAAAAAAATCCAGAAAATCACATTGTAGGATTTGTTATGAATTTATTTGCAAATTATGGTGGAAAATAAGTATTTGGTCACCTACAAACAAGCAAGATTTCTGGCTCTCACAGACTAACTTCTTCTTTAAGAGGCTCCTCTGTCCTCCACTCGTTACCTGTATTAAGGGCACCTGTTTGAACTTGTTATCAGTATAAAAGACACATGTCCACAACCTCAAACAGTCACACTCCAAACTCCACTATGGCCAAGACCAAAGAGCTGTCAAAGGACACCAGAAACAAGATTGTAGACCTGCACCAGGCTGGGAAGACTGAATCTGCAATAGGTAAGCAGCTTGGTTTGAAGAAATCAACTGTGGGAGCAATTATTAGGAAATGTAAGATTTCCTAATAAATGGGAGAACTTGCACAATTGGTGGCTGACTAAATACTTTTTTCCCCCACTGTACATTATGCAGATAAACAAACACACACTACTAAAATAGCACATAATGTATATATCTTCGCTTAATTTGTGAAACCAGAAAAATGCAAACATACCAAGGTGAGCTCTGTCAGAGACAATTAGTCTCTTCTCCCAGCCTTTGAGACCTGGTCAGAGAATGGAGAAAAAAAACTATACTGTAATGGTTTCCTCAAACTTGACAACTACAGTATTGACTGTTATTCTAAAAAATACTTGATTTACCTTTCTTCTCATTCTTCTCTGCCTCCTCAAACAAGCCTGGTAGGTGTATGACTACGCCATTACCTACATTGGACCATATGCTGGATAAATGAGCACATATAGACAGTTACCCATTGGGGTCAGTGGAAATGGTGATAAAGAGAGAAATACTCACCAATGACACATATGCTTTTGGGGTTGATAATGCCACTGGGGAGAAGGTGGAAGTCATACTCTGTACCTTCCACTACCACTGTATGGCCTGCATTGTTACCGCCCTGGAAGATCAAAACAAGACTGTTTGGCAATCCAGCCATAAAGTCTAGTGGCATGAAATCACCAAAGGACAGTTATTGATTTGATTAATGGCTGTTACTTGTAAAGGGATAGCAAAATGTGGACATAAAACAGTCAGGACACCCACTGGCCATACATCCAGAGCAAATGCATAATCTTATTTTAATCAGTGGATAATAGAGTCTAAGCCCCCTCCCCTGTCACCAAGCTACCCCCCTTCCAACTATTTAAACAGATTTGGCTGCCAGACCCTCCACTCCTTGCCCCCTGGCTAAGACCTTCTCACATGTCAAGTCACCCTGGGACTGTGACCCTGCACCAGCAGTGGGTGGGGCTGGCTGAAGGAGTACATAGAGTGCTCAGTGATGTGACTTGCTGTCAATGGAGAGTACAACACAACTGTGTAATGGCCTTTACAATGTGAGTGTCCCAAGATATGACTTCTGAGCAAGTTTTGTTTTTCCTTGCTGGCCAAAGAGAAACTTTGTCTATGAGTGTCTCTCTCGCCACCCCTCAAAACCTGGATCCTCTCTAGGTTTCTTCTTAGGTTCCTGCCTTTCTAGGGAGTTTTTCCTAGCCACTGTGCTTCTACATATGCATCGCTTACTATTTGGGTTTTTAGGCTGGGTATATGTATAAGCACTTTGTGACAACTGCTGGTGTAAAAAATGCTTTATAAAATACATTTGCTTGATTATTGACATCATTTTCATTCAGGTTAGTCTCGTAGGAGAAAAGGTGCTATATAGAACCAAAAAGGGTTATTCGGCTGTCCCCATAGGAGAACCCTTTGAAGAACCCCTTTTGATTCCAGGTAGAACCCTTTTGGGTTCCATTTAGAACCCTTTCCACTGAGGGTTCTACATGGAACCCAAAAGAGTTCTACCTGGAACCAAAAAGGGTTCCAAGAGTATTGATCCAAGTGTGATCAATATATGCTACCTTTCCCTGTCAGTACTGTGTGATTTTAGACTTTAATTTGTAAGAAATAGTTAGCGTTTTGCCCTATTGTTGGTACTATGGTCTATTTTAGCAGTTCACTATAGGTCAGATAGAGAAAATGTACAGTTAGGTGATGTGAGGTATGGATCCCCCATTGAGAGAATATGCTTTCAAGTTCTTAATGATCATGTAAGTCTAAAGAAGGACAAATATCCAGTTAATAGTTTCATTTAAACTCTAGTCCAGTCAATCATTCAAAATGTGTTGAAGTTGAAGAACTGGTAATAGCACCCAGTTTTCTAAATAAATGTTTTAATTCTTTAAAATAATATTTAAACTAATTTCCCGCATTGATAAAATAGAAAACAAGATTTAACCAAAATTCCCTTATAGCCTACTGAGGACATCACATGAAACATTTAGGTGCCAAAAAATATGCATTACTCTTGACTGATTTTTATTTTTTACAGTAAGCTATTTCAAGCTTTTTCCAATGCCTGCCCCACACCTGTCACACTGTAGTACAGTACAGTGACAGTCACCGATTCCGATATGTTGGAACATTACTTTTCTAAAGACGCATCATGAATTTCACAGCAACCAACCATGCGTTATAATTCAATGACATAACTTTTGTCAGTTCAAGCATGTCAAGGTTACATTAATATCGTATTATATACACACGATATTACCTGACATCTGCAAACAAGGTCAGACTCAGTCGCCAGTAAATCGACGACTTTTCCTTTGCCTTCATCTCCCCATTGCGCACCGAGCACCACTGTCACTTTGTTCCCTGTGTCATTCCGTGGCCGCTTCAGCCCTTGGGTTGGGTTGGAGGGTGGATTTGTATAACTCTTGTGGTCTTTTGCTGACCAGCTCAACGACATGATGTTACTTAGACTGTCCGTCTGAAACAGACTAGAACGTTTCCAAGAGTAGCATTGCCATATCAGTGTCTCCATGATGTCAGAGCAGGACGCACAGACGCAGTAGGCAGATCTCGAACCGCGCCTGGGAGCTCTGTCGCCCAACTCCACGTTTCCATAAAGACTTGTTTGATGTCAATAAAGAGAACGGCAATCTCATACTGTGAATTCATTTATTTTTATTTTTATTATAGTCCAGACTCAACATTCGATACTGTTGTTACAATCTATTTGCAACCATGGCACCCTCTAGGCTATCAAATGTATAGAGATAGTAAACTTTCAGGGCTAAACTTTCTTAAAATTGCACCATGCACTTTTAATTCATGCCTTAAGTGTTCATATTTTATGTTTTAAACTGTCTGTGTGTTTGTCCTATTGAAGCACCCTGTCAGCCATGAACGAATTGCCCCTCGGGGGATTAATAAAGTTGTATTGTAAATGCATGCTGCAATAAATTATGCTCTGATAATTGTAGAAATAAGTTATGTTATTGATAACAGTAGGAAGAAGCTGATATGTCTTTCCTATATGCCAAGTGTGGAATCAAAACGTAAAAAAAAAAATTCACATGACATTCACAAAAGACTGGAATACTATTTTCAGCACAACTGTTCCAACCAACACACTATCAAAGTTTATTGTGAAATAGACACGAATTTGGTTCCAACTGTGCTGGATGTCATTTATAGCTTTGGAAATTAAGCCTGTCTTTTTATATTCAAACACAAAACAATAACATAAAAAGTACATATACTTCAAATAATCAAATTTGTAAAAATAAGGCAATTTTCTTTCTCTTCAATATGGAACACCTAAAGTGACAGAGTAGTGACACAGCCTGATCTCATAGACTAGATGTAACATAGTAAATGTAATTCTGGGACAGTCAAGTTAGTATGTTATGTTTGGTATGGTGACATAAGACAGATGGTTACTTAAGGCAAAAACAAAAGTAGGGTGGTATAACACGAACGTCTAGCAACCCAAAGGTTGTGAGTTTGAATCCCATCACGGACAACTTTAGCATTTTAGCTTATTAGCAACCTTTCAGCTACTTACTACTTTTGAGCTACTTTGCAAGTTCGCTAACCCTAACCCTAACCCGTTCAGCTAACTTTAACCTAACTCCTAAACTTTAACTTTACCCTAACCTTAACCCCTACCCTTGCTAATGTAAGCCAGCTAACGTTAGCCACCTAGCCAGAATTTGTAACATCATACATTTTGCAGATTCGTAACATATTTTGCAAATTTGTAACATTTAATATGAATGGTAATTTGTAAAACATCATACGAAATGGGTAATGGACATCCACAAATTAATACATACCATACGAAACCTAACATACCATACTAAATGGAGCGTTTTGGATTTGCATACAGAATAATATGAAATGCTCTGATACCAGGTTGTAGCGAAGAGTACATTTGCTGGGATTGAGGCTGGCAGAGACCACAAACAGTAGCCTTGTGGAACACAACAGCTGCATGAGAATGTGTCCATGACCCAGCCTCTTGGTAGAATACAAATCAACCTGGCCATGGCAGCTTTTGAGTTTATTTCACAATTTTTTAAAGAACTCAAAATTCTCCAAGGGAAGGAAGACCATGCTGATATCTTCTTGGAGGAATACATTTAGTTCAATATAATGTAGTCCAGGGGTAGGAAATCCAGGTCCTGGAGTGCCACAAATTTAACCAACCTGGAAGACCAGGTGTGTTGAATTGGGGGCAATCACTGAACTGATCAATTAGCTCAGTTGGTCAAGGCCGTGTTCAGTACATAAAAACGTAACAGAACATTAAATTGAACGGAAACGGTGCTGTACTGAACAACCAGTTAAAAAACGGGGAGGGGTTGGGCTATGGGTTCAAATGCACAGCTGCCCTTTAAATACATCACTCATTGCTTCAAGCCACACCCCAGCACACCCACTGAACGGAGCAAACGTATCTCAAAGTCTGTTCAAGAACGTACAAGAACATTTTGGGAAAACGTGTCGTTCAGTAAAAACCATTCCGCAACGTAGCAAACGTTTAAGCGAACTGAACGCACCCCTGGTGTGGTGCCTAGTTGGAACAAAATCCTGCAGCACTCCAGGAACAGGGTTGCCTACTCCTGATGTAGTCCATTACAATGTGCAGAAACCATGTATGGAAGAATTAACTCAACATTTTCTTTTCCCTCTTGACTTCCTTTTCCGGGAATTGCCTAGGAGAGTAAAGAGTACAATTAATAGATTGAATAAATCAAATGACATACCAATGACTTCTAAAATAGTATGCCAACAATATCAAACAAAGTGGGAGCCCAAAAATTGCATTTGGTGGATCTAGGAATTGGAGAGACTGGACAGTTTTGTAATGTTTCTGATGAATACTATTATTTTGGAAATTAAATGGCATTCAGTGCTGTTGGTTCCATCAATTTCTAGATCATTAAAGCACTCTGAATTCATTTAAATCAAACATCTTTCAGCAAAGTCAGACTTCCAAAGGACACAGTTTACAGGAAGCACAAAAAAGTCATTGCGTTAGTAGTTTAACTCATCAAGTTTACTGTTTAGGTTGTTGTGAGGTTGGCCAGTTTAGTAACATAAGGGTATGGAGGCACAGAAAACATGACAGCAAAACTCCACCAGAAAAAAAGTGCTGAGAAAGGTCTTCCCGGTGAGGCCTTCACAAGTTAAAAGCTCAGTATGACATTGAAGTTAACTTGGATATGATGATGATGATAATAATGATTTTTCAACTGTGGCCCTTATGAGGTGTCAGTTTGAGTTTAATTACTATACGTCTTTACAAGTTCAAACTCCTATGATTCAGGCTGATAAAGAGTGCATAAAGTAGCAGCCAAGAGAGGTCTCACACAAAGTGGTTTATCTTGAGTTATGATGACAGGATTAAAATTTGATTACCAGGGATTTGATAGATTTTTACTGAAGAGGACAGAGAGTGTTAAAAGTAGGACAAGACATAATCAGGTTAAACCAGACCATGGTTAGGCCAACACACGTCTGTAAATTGAATTCATGGCTTGGTGCTGATGGATTGATTAAAATGTTCCTGCTTGCACCAGTTAGTATTCCATCCAGTTGTTTGACCTACCTCACTGCATCACACACCCCTTTTTACATTTAGGGTGTCCTTTTCCAGTGTTACCTTGTGTTTTAGAGAGTTAAAGAAAAAAGACAACACGAAAAACAAACTACTTGATGATCATGAAATGACTCAAGGTGTTGTAAATGGGAGGCTTTTAATATCTACTTCTAAAAAAATAGTACATTCATGCTAAAACGTCAAAGTTCACAGCTAAAACAACAGCACCAAATGATCAGACACTATATAAAAACGTATAATGTAAAATGCAATAAAACCATATACCATAAAAAAAGGGAGAAATCTCCCTCTCAGACACTTCAGGAGACCACAGTTCCAAACATGATCTTTATTATAATGAATGAATACATTACCTCCATTATTCTTCTTTTTGTTACTTCCAAAGAGCTTCTGCTGTTTCTTATCCTCTGGTTTTAGGGTTCCAGATGCAGGCAGAGCTTCGGATACTGATGAGAGCAGATCTTCAGAGTCCACTCCATCGGGCACATCGCACGCCGTTCCGCTTTCAGCCGCACTGACTAAAGGTACGTTGCCATTGGTGTTTGTGTTGCCATTGGTGTCTGTGCTGCCATTGGTGTCTGGGTGTCCATTAGTTACACCCTCATCCTGTGCCACCATCTTCACCATCATGTCATCCCCAGCCTCATCTTGTCCAAAAGTCTTTACCATCATGCTGCTGCTCTTACCTCCAACTTCATCTTGGCCAATGGTTTTTTTTCCTATCAGGTTGCTTTCACCATTACTCTCTATCACCATGTCCATATCAGTGACAGGAAGTGTGCAGGCTCCATTAAGGTGACTCTCTCCATTGCTCTGTGGACATTCAGGCATCAAGTCCTCCATTACCATCTGGTTGATTTCAGGCAGGTCTGCATCTGTGAAGGTAGAGAGGCTTGGGGTGTTATGTAGGACACCCATTCCCGGTATCTCCTGTGTTGGTAAATTGTTTGTGGGAAGGCTTGAAAAAGCTGTTTTTTCTTGGGGTTTGCTGGGACCATTCATTCCTTCTCTTGGGGCCCTCTCCTCTGCCTGGGGTTGAGTGGGACTAGGAGTGCTGGAGGCTTCTGAGACCGAGGCTTTGGCTTCTTCTATTACAGGCTTGACACTTGATCCTGCAGAGGAGAAGGAGGTTCTGTTAATGTATGAAGATAGATAGGAAGAGCAGGTCTACTGTACCAGACATTCCAAACATGTCATCATTCTTAATGCAGGCAATGTTTGAATCTAGCAAGTGGTGTTTCTTAAGAAAATACACAAAGAAGCATGACCAAGCACACATTCTTGGTTAAATTAAGCAAGTGTAATTGGTGGTAGTAGTAGTGGCTGCACAAAAGCACAAATGGAAGCCTGGTTATGGTTCAATGCAGGAGAGTAGGAGCGGAGCTGGAGGCAGGACAGAGTCAGAGTCGTCTTGTCCTTACCGGGCTGGCCCGTTTTCCTATTCATTTCACTAGAGGGGGGGCTTTCCGTTTCGCACCTGGGCCGCGTCTTCCTGAGATGGAAGCCTTTCCGGATATCAGCAAGAAGGTGGTCGATAATACAGCCATCGTCCTGTGGCGGGGGTCCTTTCCGGACTGGTGACAGAGGATAGAGAAAGAGAGACATTAAGACACCACATGGCTGGCTACGCTTTATCATCTTAGTGTGAATACAAAACATAGTTGGACTCATTTGACAGAGGAGATATCAGTAGAACTCACTTATTTTTCCGTTCTCCCCCTTCTGTCTTTTGGATTCCTCCTCGTCAAGCTGCTTCTTCCTTTTCTCCGCCTTCACAGCCTGTTCTTTTCTGGTTTTGTTTTCCTGTGGGTGTAAATAGAACATTGCGAAAGAGATTACACCAGGCTACTCCATAGAAAACCTTTATCTTCAGTGTACTAGTGATGGAAATCAGTATGCATTATTAGCAGCTATCTAAACTTGTGGAATTCCGTCTATTTGTGATGTGCTCCTCTGACTTTTAAGGCTTTGATGAAAAGTCCCCGAAAGGTCTTGATGGTGCCGAAGAGCTCCTCCAGGGAGAGCTGGTTGACATCCTCACACAGGTAGAGGGCCAGGTCACCCTTCTTCCTCACAATCTCCAAAAAACTGTCCTCAAAATCCCGGCAGGCCTCCAGGTTTTTCTTGGGGAGGGAAACAAGCAGTTGAACCATTGCCTTAAAGAACAACTTTGTATAGTTGGTTGACCTCCTCCAAAGAATAAAAAAAAAACACTAACTCTTGTCAATATTGTGATGCATTGATCCACAATATAATCTAATTCACTGGTTCCATACCTCAAATACCTTTGTGAACTGCTGCTTTACATCATCCACAGAGATAGAGACTTTCTTTGATGCTTCTTTTAGTCGATGGAGTAAGGCACTGGCTTCTGCCTGAATGGAGTCCAGGTTGATTCTGAAGGATAAAAATGTATATTTACAATTTTTGATGTAATTTAAATCATTTATGTATCAATTGCAGAGCTCATAATAAAACATTTTTATTTATTTTTTAATAAAAGGATGTTATACCCAGCTGCTTTTTCACAAATCTCAATGTCGTCAGGGAGGTCCAATAGCTCTGGGTGGTTCAGCTCTGCTTCCTGTAAACAAAATGCTCAGTCAGGAGTTTAGCACTGACCACACAGTAGCTTTTATTCTCAGAAAAGCTCATCCTTATTTATGATAGTGTTACCTCTAGAATGTGATGGAGCAGGGTAATGCGGCTCTTGTTGGCCTTAGTCTCAGTCAGCTTCAGCAGGGAGCTGATTTTAAAGCCCTCAGCGTTCCCTGTGTGACATCCCTGTGAACAAACAGTCAGGAGTTTTTTTCAGACTGCATAAGTGCTGTTTTTGGATGAGTAGAATGCCATCCTTTGGAGAGTCCTTACTTACATAGTTGAGGAAGTTTCCCACATCAAGGATGAGCCTGCAGAAACTGGGCATGAGAGTGCTCACTCTGAGACCTGAGGGGGAATTTTTTTAAATGTTGAAACATTCTATGCAAAATGTTTGAAAAACCAACACAAAAACTATGATTCGATAGACCTGCATCTCCAACTTGAATAGATAAAACCTTTCCAGCACAAGCAACAATTTGTACTACATAAAACAGTGGTTAGTCTCGCTCTGTTGATATTTCCAACAAACAAAATAGTTCATAATCAACCTTACAGTGTCCTCTGATAGCTTTCACAAATATGTAATTGATGAATAGAGCAGTCACTGTAAAATGAGTGTTTATACAGGGAAGTTGGTGTTGACTTACACTGGCATGCTGCTTCAACCACCTCTGCTTTGGGCTTGAGCATGTCCAGTATGGAGGCTGTCTCCTCACACAGCAGCATGCAGTCTATCCTCAGCTGGTAACTGTGGGGAGGCACAAGAGAAAGAGCGGGAGAGGGGATACGAAGTAGGGATGGTATAGGGAGGGAAGAGATGCCATAGGGAATTAAGCAAGACAATTCAAGGAAGTGCCAAACAAAAACACAGAAACCAGATTCTGTTAATGATCACAGCCAAAGATGAATCTCCACACAAAGTATCCTGTGAGGTGCCAGAAATGTTGAAAGCGAGGAGAGGAATAGCAGTTACCATGGTACAGCCAGGATAGAGATGTAGAATCGGTCAACATTGGCCAACTTGTCTTTTTCTCCCTGGAAGGATTTCAGGTTTTCTATCTAGATAGAGAAAAAAGAGAGTGCTTCAGATCAGTCATTACCCTCAAATTGTTCAATGCTTAACTTTGCAAGCCCTACCCAACAGTGCAATATTCAATATCAAAAGAATATAACTAATACAAAAAAGTAAACATTACCCTGTTTTATATATGAAGAGAAATTAGGAAAGTACACCTTATACCAACCTCATGTTTCTCAGGTAAGAGTTTAATAAGTTGCTTCAACACCTCCACATCAAACTTTGTCCGATCCCCATTCTGAATCAAGGACACAAACTCATCATGTGAGCTAGATAGAGGAGCATGGAGAAAAACAAGTCAGCTCAATGGGGTAAAAACAACATTGAAATCAATATCAACTTGATGATAAATTACATTACCATTTGAATTGCTTGAGAAATATGTTCAAATTCAAATTCTTCTTTGCGTCAATAAAGGAGATCTGTAAAGAGAAGAGGGGAACAAATATTTTGTTAGGGAGGTTGTTGTTTTAGGATTCATAATGAGCCATGTTTTTGGTGTGCTCCAGATATGAGCGCTGTAGTGAGTGTTGACCACTGCACCTCTTTAGGCTCCTTCTTGACATGAGCAGCTGCCCCCTTGTCTTTGTGTTCGGTCACCGGGAGACAGAACAGCTGCTCAATGCTGGAGTAGTTGGGCTCCCGAGGAGCGTCTTTCTGGGCAGAGGTCCACATGGAATGACCATCTGTGTGTTTTGTGAAAGGAGCAAGAGAATAACCACAACACATCTGGAATGACCTAATACAATTATTCTCTATGCTGTACTATCAGACAATCTTTTCCCCTCTGAAATAGAGCAGACTGCCTCTGTAAACACAGGGGAGGTTCATTAAAGAGATGTCAAGGTTTTTCACTCACCAGTGACAGCTCTGAGCTTCTGCCAGTTGAGCTTCTTCATCCTCAGGGTGGGGCAGCGGCCTGCCTTGGAGGAGGCAGCACAGGCACACCCCAGGGATTGGCTACTTTGGGCCACCACCATGCCACCCATGACAGGAGGAGGAGGTGGTGGTGGTGGAGGCATGGCGGGCAAGGGTGGGGGTGTGCACCCTGGGGGCACCCCCATTGCTGGAAGAGGTGGAGGTGGTGGGGGTACTCCATCTCCTGTGTGTGGTAGTGTCAGAGAGGCGGGTGGAGGAGGGGGAGGTGTGCACTGAAGGGGCCCTGGTCCCATCATATTGGGAGGTAGGGAAGGTGGAAGGGGTGGGGGTGGGGGAGGAGAAGACACTTGGGAGGTTGTGGGGCATTTGGTCAGTCTCTCTTGGTCATCGTCCACCATATCAGTCTGAACAGCCTTATCAATCTTCTTGGGTGGCAGACCATCCACAGCATGGACACCAGCGTTCCTGCGCTTGGCGAACACCAGGCGTTGCATAATCGTCTCACAGGAGTCCATTGGTGCTGGAGCACAGAATCATACACAAACACTGAAATCTACAGAATTCTACCAAAAATAAATACAATCTATGCACTTTTGATCTTAGTCGACATTCACCCAGACTCCAGTCCTTTACCCATAACTCTCTTAGGGGACAACTTATTGCCTCAGAGGACTCACAGTCCTGATCCAGCAGTATGGCCCTGTTAGTGAGGGCCTCCAGGGTCTGCCAGATGCCAGCCCTGTCGGGCCCCAGCAGCAGCAGGGCCTGTAGGATGGACAGCAGCTGGAGAGATGACGGAGAGCTGCTCACCTGGAGGTGGACCAACACACAACCAAACCTTATTTAAAGTGCATTTGTAATTCAATTGTTTACAGTACTTGCCATGATGCTAAGAGAAGGTGGCATGCGGTGTTATGGTAGCGCAGCTGACAGCTGTGCTCACTTTGTTGAAGAGGGTGGTGAACACCTCCTGATGACTGCTCATGTCGATGCCTCCATAGACCCTCAGCAGCTCCTCCTCATCCTCAACCATAGCCTCTTCAAACGCTTCACACTGAATGATCAAGTCCTCATCCTCCTCATCTCTGGAGGTCACACACACACCAAGTAATTTATTCAAAAGGGTCTATTGAGCAAATAGCCTGTTTACATGTACTTCCCACTTGACCATCAAATCAACAAGTAAATTAATAAATGTTAAGGTAAATAAAAGTTTTGTTTTACATTTCACTCAAATGTTATTGCGCTTGACCAATGCATGGGCATTTCATTTATCTGCACACGACAAATAAATCACAATGAAACGAGAAAGTCAGTCAAGGCACTCACCTCAATTTGGGCAGTATATCAAGTAACTGTAATCCTGGAAAAAATAAACTTTATAAGACAGTGACAAAAACAATGAACCACCTCCCAATTGATCAGTTTCCTACTTTGTAGTATTACAAAGTTGGAACACCGCAGAATGTGAACTAGAATTTGCGTGATGGGAATCAGCGTGTGATTTTGATCGCAGGTGAGCGAGTTGGGATATAATTAATCAATCCGCAGTGGAACGGGGATGTGGAACGACTTCGAACACATTTACAGGATTTTTGAAGAATAAAAAAATGCATTACACATTTTCCGTGAATGGCAATTTCACAAAAGGATGAGAACGGTGACTTGACAGACTTCAGACAATCTTCTGTTATTGGCTTCTGATCATAAACAGGTAGGCCTAAATCGAAGCCAGTTCCTGGACAATACTGTAACCTGTCAAGAACCATAATATTGTACATACAATGTTGATAGGACTACTATGCCCATATTTCTTCAACATATTCAGCACACAAATCTATAGGCCTAATCTTGATTTCCCAGATAAAACACAGATTTTTCAAAAACCAAAAACGATTCAGGTACCACCATCTATGTAAAATACAAATGAATAGGCCTACTTTCAAACCAGAATATGTGATGGTTGACCAAGATTCAAGTGTTTAGGGACGAGCACCGTTCTGACACCGAAGTCTATGCTTGAAATTTGGTTAGCCCTGGCCTTGATTTCAGCGTCCATAGACGTCGTTTTTTGGTCTGTGGACGTTAAAAAATCAAGGCCAGGGCGCGGACGGACATAGACGTCAATAGACCAAATCTGAACCAATCATAGATGTCTATGTTTCACAAGTACAGTACAATAGAGCACATCAGAGTACAGTACAGTACAGTACAGTACAGTACAGTACAGTAAAGTAGAGTATGATCCAGTACAATACAGTAGAGTACAGTACACTAGAGCACATTAGAGTAAAGTACAGTATAATGTACTATATTGTACTGTACTATATCCTACTGTAGTTTACTGTACTTTACTGTGTTCTACTGTACTGTACTGTACTTTACTGAACTGAACTCTACTGTACTGTAATGTACTCTACTGTACTGAACTAAACTCTACTGTGCTCTACTGTACTGTGCTGCACTGTACTGTGCTGTCCAAACTTATAAGACATAGACGTCCGGTCCAGACCAACCAAATTAGAAAAATACCCAGCATGGTTTGAAAGTGTTCCTTTTTACATTTACATTTTGGGCCTTTAGCAGACACTCTTATCCAGAGAAACTAACAGTCAGTGCATTCAACTAAGGTAAATAAACAACCACATATCACAGTCATAGCAAGAAAAACGTTTCTGTAACCGTTAATGAGAAATGTTTTGTAGTTGAAGTGTTCTATTGTTTTTTATTGTGTAAGTCTGAAAACTCTGAACATTTTCACTGCCAATTCTAAAGCTTTTGAAAAAGCTAAAATAGAAAAAGCTAAGGTGATAAATGGGAGGAATAATAAATATTCCATTCTGCAATCTTCGGTTTGCTCCAGTTTCCTATTTTAATTGGAGTTCAAAATGTTGAATGTGATCAAATGCTTTCTTTATTGACATGTAGATATACAGTATGTGAACTTATGTATGGTTGAAATTTGGCCATAGAAACAATGACCGAAAAAATATGTATTTTAAACGTCCGTAAAATAAGTATTTTTAACATATGTTAATAACGTATTTTCAAAGTCTGTAAAATATGTATTTCCAACATCAGGAAAATACATATTTTCAACTTTCATTCAGAACCGAAAATTAACCTAATTTTCACCGTCATTTTTCTCACTGGGAGGAGACAGATTGCTGGCAGGCATATAGCTAAAAGTACCCAGTGACATAGATTAGCAATGGAACTGTTGCCAAATGGCCTATTTACTCTGCATTCTCATCCCCCTGGTGTTTCAACGTGTGACCAGATGAACTGAGTGGCTGAGTAGTGAAGATAAACAATGCGCTGTACCGATAAACTCCTTGCGCATCTTATCTCTCTGTCGCAGGTCATCTGTCCCAAAGATGATGGCGTTGATGACACTGAGGAGGGTGACCATGTAGGGCACGTTGTCTGTGGCCTGCAGCTCGTTCATGATCACACTGAAGCGATACTGCTGGGTCTTCACACCCTGGGAGCCAAAGTAACACATTAGTCATTCTGTATGTCATTCACTCCTGCTGTGTGAGGACAGCTCCTATCCCCATAATGCTCTAATGTTGATCAGTGAGTAACATTAATCAATGTATTGACAACTGTGGACATTACTAGATAACCCAATGAAGTCACTTAAGCAGTTCAACATATGTACACTAGAGGGCAATACTAGGTGCATACAGTGTATGGTTGTTCAGTAATGTCTGGGATGATAAAAAATGACTTTAATTAGCCTATTTAATGAGATTCCTTTGAGCTGAAATAACATGTTACAAAAAACGTGTCATATCTGATTTCAGTACATTTTCATCAAAACCACACACATTGTTTCCCCCAACATTGTTCATTTTCTCTCATTATCCTTCCTAAATCTGAATTAGGCCACTTATCCTGTAGGTGTATGGTATATAGCCTCTGTCCACTAGTGACAGCTTGTCTAGCTGTATGACACTTGCCTTGTAGTGGTCCAGGGCATCCAGGGCCAGACGATACCCATTAGAGGAGAACATGCTCAGGGCAGCAAGCAGCTCAAACACCTGCTTCTTCACCATGGTATTGGACGTGTCCAAGGCTGTGGTAAGACATAGTCAGAGACATCAGTCAGTGTACACATGGTCATTGTCCTCATATTCCAGCCTACCTTTCTCCTTCTCCCTTGTCTGGTGTCCTCTAGGATGTTATGGCTCATCTAAAGGCAACGTAACGTGAACTTACCTTTACGAAAAAGTGTTTTGTTTGTGATAAGTTTGTTAGTGTGTGTGAAGATGTTGCAATGTACTGTCCCTCCACACAGTGTCCCCCTCCATACACTTTGTCTGACACAATGGCCTATATCTGACCTGAATTGTTCCATGTTGCCATGGTACTTCTTTGAAATTCCTAAATCTACTTAGGTATTTTATGGGGTTGATTTTATATTTGATTACAATTATGCACAACTGAATAAAAATTATTAAGTATTATACTGTGTGTATATATATATATATATATATATATATATATATATATATATATATACAGTACCAGTCAAAAGTTTGGACACACCTACTCATTCAAGGGTTTTTCATTATTTGTATTATTTTTTAGATTGTAGAATAATAGTGAAGACATCAAAACTTTAAAATAACACATATGGAATCATGTAGTAACCAAAAAAGTGTTAAACAAATCACAATATATTTTATATTTGAGATTCTTAAAATAGCCACCCATTGCTTTGATGACAGCTTTGCACAATCTTGGCATTCTCTCAACCAGCTTCACCTGGAATGCTTTTCCAACAGTCTTGAAGGAGTTCCCACATATGCTGAGCACTTGTTGGCTGCTTTTCCTTCACTCTGCTGTCCGACTCATTACATTTACATTTGGGACTCATCCCAAACCATCTCAATTGGTTGGTAGCCATGCTGGTTAAATTCTAAATAAATCACAGACCAGTGTCACCAGCAAAGCAATCCCACACCATAACACATCCTCCTCCATGCTTTACGGTGGGAAATACACATTCTGAGATCCTCCGTTCACCCACACCGCGTCTCACAAAGACACGGTGGTTGGAACCCAAAATCTCCAATTTGGACTCCAGACCAAAGGACAAATTTCCACTGGTCTAATATCCATTGCTAGTGTTTCTTGGCCCAAGCAGGTCTCTTCTTCTTATTGGTGTCCTTTTGTAGTGGTTTCTTTGCAGCATTTCGACCACGAAGGCCTGATTCAAACAGTCCCCTCTGAACAGTTGATGTTGAGATGTGGCTGTTACTTGAAATCTGTGAAGCATTTATTTGGGCTTCAATTTCTGAGGCTGGTAACTCTATTGAACTTATCCTCTGCAGCAGAGTTAACTCTGGGTCTTCCATTCCTGTGGCGGTCCTCATGAGAGCCAGTTTCATCATAGCGCTTGATGGTTTTTGCGACTGCACTTGAAGAAACGTTCAAAGTTCTTGAAATGTTCCGTATTGACTGACCTTCATGTCTTAAAGTAATGATGGACTGTCGTTTCGCTTTGCTTATTTGAGCTGTTCTTGCCATAATATGGACTTGGTATTTTACCAAATAGGGCTATCTTCTGTATACCCCCCTACCTTGTCACAACACAACTGATTGGTTCAAACGCATTGAGGCAAGACATTCCGCAAATTAACTTTTAAGAAGACACACCTGTTAATTGAAATACATTCCAGGTGACTACCTCATGAAGCTGGTTGAGAGAATGCCAAGAGTGTGCAAAGCTGTCATCAAGGCAAAGGGTGGCTTTTTGAAGAATCTCAAGAAGAATTTGTTTAAGACTTTTTTGGTTACTACATGATTCCATATGTGTTATTTCATAGTTTTTATGTCTTCACTATTATTCTACAATGTAGAAAATAGTAAAAATAAAGAAAAACCCTAGAATGAGTAGGTGTTTCCAAACTTTTGACTGGTACTGTATATATATATACAGTGGGGGAAAAAAGTATTTAGTCAGCCACCAATTGTGCAAGTTCTCCCACTTAAAAAGATGAGAGAGGCCTGTAATTTTCATCATAGGTACATGTCAACTATGACAGACAAAATGAGGAAAAAAAATCCAGAAAATCACATTGTAGGATTTTTTATGAATTTATTTGCAAATTATGGTGGAAAATAAGTATTTGGTCAATAACAAAAGTTTCTCAATACTTTGTTATATACCCCTTGTTGGCAATGACACAGGTCAAACGTTTTCTGTAAGTCTTCACAAGGTTTTCACACACTGTTGCTGGTATTTTGGCCCATTCCTCCATGCAGATCTCCTCTAGAGCAGTGATGTTTTGGGGCTGTCGCTGGGCAACACGGACTTTCAACTCCCTCCAAAGATTTTCTATGGGGTTGAGATCTGGAGACTGGCTAGGCCACTCCAGGACCTTGAAATGCTTCTTACGAAGTCACTCCTTCGTTGCCCGGGAGGTGTGTTTGGGATCATTGTCATGCTAAAAGGCCCAGCCACGTTTCATCTTCAATGCCCTTGCTGATGGAAGGAGGTTTTCACTCAAAATCTCACGATACATGGCCCCATTCATTCTTTCCTTTACACGGATCAGTCGTCCTGGTCCCTTTGCAGAAAAACAGCCCCAAAGCATGAAGTTTCCACCCCCATGCTTCACAGTAGGTATGGTGTTCTTTGGATGCAACTCAGCATTCTTTGTCCTCCAAACACGATGAGTTGAGTTTTTACCAAAACGTTATATTTTGGTTTCATCTGACCATATGACATTCTCCCAATCCTCTTCTGGATCATCCAAATGCACTCTAGCAAACTTCAGACGGGCCTGGACTTAAGCAGGGGGACACGTCTGGCAATGCAGGATTTGAGTCCCTGGCGGAGTAGTGTGTTACTGATGGTAGGCTTTGTTACTTTGGTCCCAGCTCTCTGCAGGTCATTCACTAGGTCCCCCCGTGTGGTTCTGGGATTTTTGCTCACCGTTCTTGTGATCATTTTGACCCCACGGGGTGAGATCTTGCGTGGAGCCCCAGATCGAGGGAGATTATCAGTGGTCTTGTATGTCTTCCATTTCCTAATAATTGCTCCCACAGTTGATTTCTTCAAACCAAGCTGCTTACCTATTGCAGATTCAGTCTTCCCAGCCTGGTGCAGGTCTACAATTTTGTTTCTGGTGTCCTTTGACAGCTCTTTGGTCTTGACCATAGTGGAGTTTGGAGTGTGACTGTTTGAGGTTGTGGACAGGTGTCTTTTATACTGATAACAAGTTCAAACAGGTGCCATTAATACAGGTAACGAGTGGAGGACAGAGGAGCCTCTTAAAGAAGAAGTTACAGGTCTGTGAGAGCCAGAAATCTTGCTTGTTTGTAGGTGACCAAATACTTATTTTCCACCATAATTTGCAAATAAATTCATTAAAAACCCTACAATGTGATTTTCTGGATTTTTTTCTCTCAATTTGTCTGTCATAGTTGACGTGTACCTATGATGAAAATGACAGGCCTCTCTCATCTTTTTAAGTGGGAGAACTTGCACAATTGGTGGCTGACTAAATACTTTTTTTCCCCACTGTATACACACACACACACACTCAGCGGGCAGTTTATTAGGTACACCACCTGTTCACGAAAATGTTTCGCTCCTACAGACAGTGAGTTACGTGGCCTTGGCTTGCTATATAAAGCAGGCAGACAGGCATCGAGACATTCAGTTACTGATTGAACGTTAGAATGGGAAAAACAAGTGACCTAAGCGACTTTGAGCATGGTATGTTCGTCGGTTCCAGGCGCGCTGGTTCCAGTATCTCAGAAATGGCCGGCTCCTGGGCTTTTCACGCACGACAGTGTCTAGGGATTACTGAGAATGGTGCAACAAACAAAAAACTGCCAGTCAGCATCAGTTCTGTGGGCAAAAACAACTTGTTGATGATAGGTCAAAGGAGAATGGCAAGAATTTGGCAAGCTAACAGGTGGGCCACAAACAGGCAAATAACGGCACAGTACAACAGAACGGCATCTCGGAACGCACTATTATTTTGTCCTTGTTACGGATGGGCTATTGCAGCAGACGACCACACCAGGTTCCACTCCTATCAGCTAAAAACAAGAAGAAGCGGCTCCAGTGGGCACGCGATCACCAACACTGGACAATTGAGGAGTGGAAAAGCATTGCCTGGTCCGACGAATCCCGGTTCCTGTTGCGTCATGCTCATGGCAGAGTCAGAATTTGGCGTAAGCAGCATGAGTCCATGGCCCCATCCTGCCTGGTGTCAACGGTATAGGCTGGTGGTGGTGTAATGGTTTGGGGATTGTTTTCCTGGCACACGTTAGGTCCCTTGATACCAATTGAGCAACGTTTCCATGCCCCAAAGAATTCAGGCTGTTCTGGCGATAAAAGTGGGAGCCGACCCGGTATTAGATGGGTGTACCTAATAAACTGCATATATACTGTATATACAGTATAAGGCTCATTCATGGAACCTTTCATGGAAAGTGTGTGTGTGTGATGCCATAGCTTTATTAAGTATGAAACACTATATATCTCCTCAGTCCTAGGTGCTGTCGAACCTTGGGAGAGTTTGCGGATGTAGCCCTCATTCTCCACGATAAAGTTTATCCCAGACGAGGAGTTCATGATGGCCCGGACACAGCTGACACAGGTGAGCTGCAGCAGGGCATCTGTGATGCGGGAGCAGCCCCTCCCAGACAGCCTGTCCAGGGCCTCCAGCAGCAGGTCTAGGCCACTCAGCTCCAGGAACTGGACCATCCAGGACTCCTCACTGCCCTCCAGACGACGCTTCAGCCCAGAGTAGTTGACCACGCTGGGCACCTGTAGCATGTGGATGCACAGCTCTGGGTCGGCACTCTCCAGGTTGGCCTCCAGCTGGGTGTCTGAGTCCTGGGAGGAGCCCAGATGGCCCCTCACTGCCGCCCACTTCCTCTTCCCATCTGACTTCACTGACATGGTGATGGAGAGGGTCTGTGGAGGGAATTTAAGGCAAGAGGTTCAGTTAAATAGCATGGTGAGACTTTTGGCTTGCTGGACTGCAGTTTTGTTTCATAGAGTCTAATGTAAACATACATCTGTTTTCTATAAAGTGCTGAAAGGGGTGGAGAATTCATTCTATTTTGCCATTTATGGTCAAAATGTTAGTGCCATGGTTTTGTGCAAACAAGCCATTAACTATTTGACCTGCAAATGGGCCTTTGCATAAATATTATGCAGGATGATCAGTCCCCATTAGAATTGTATCAGAGCTATCCTGGCTAAAGGATCCATGCCTTTATCACAACATAGCACATTCATAGGAAATGACAGCTCTGCACATTGGGGGACAAGTGAAAGGTATGTCAGCAGTACTGTCGTCACTAGTCCTGCTAAACATCCAAACTTAATCCTGCAGTGAAAGGGACGGGACTCGCTGTCAGCTAATCAACAGCAAACACAAAGACAGGCACATGACACTCAGTGTATCTTTATGGGAGATATATTATATTCTGTGTATATACTTTATTTTCAATTACATCCAATTGTAAACAAGGTTTTGAGTAGGGTTGCAAAGGGAGGGTATATTACTGGAGACTTGAGAAGTTTACCAGTAAACTACCAGAATTGTTGGTATCTTTCAAGGATTTTATGTAATCTATCACAAGACATTTAATGCCCTATTGGGATTATTACAGGTGTCTGTAATTATCGTGGCCCTTTGTGTGGCCTTATGTTTTAAAATATATGAAATAATTAAATAAGATGATTTTAAAATAAAGAATTGAATGACAAAGCTGTAAAACATTATCCCACATATAAACCATCAATTTAGTGAATACCATTGTGTCACGGTTTCGGCCGAGGCTGCTCCTTCTCCTTGCTCGGGCAGGCTTCGGCGGTCGTCGTCCCCGGAGTACTAGCTGCCACCGTTGTATGTTTCGATGTTCGTTTGGTTTTGTCTAGTTGTTGTACACCTGTTCCCTGTTAGTGTGATTATGTACCCTTTATATGTTCCATTAGTTTGTCATGTGTTGTGTGTAATTGTTTTCACCTGTCGTTTGGTGCAGTGCTGTTTGCCAGTCGCTCATTTTGTACCGTCGCACTATTGTTTTGTGCGCAGTCGGTTTTGGAGTGTTTTACGCACTGTGGCGTATTGTTCGCCTCCGGGTTGGTAGACCCGTTTTGTTATTTTGTTTATGCAAGTAAAGTCTGGTTTGACTTAGCTCCTGTGTCCTGCATTTGATTCACACCACATCCGCATCAGAGTTCGCGACACATTGGTGTTTAATATGAAGGTTTCAGCATTTTACTATGTCAATATGTATTTGTTGTAAATGTTTTGGCGTCAAGCTGGTGGGAGTTGAGAAAAAAGTCAATAGTTGGAAGATTTGCAGAGTTCATTGAAAATTATGCCATTGTTGATTAGATGCTTTTTTCCATTAATTAGGCTATTTTCTCTTGAACCTACTACCTACTAGAAACTCATGGACAATATGGACACAGATATAAAAATGAATACTATATATTAATACATTTTTTAAAAAAGTGATTCAAGTATAAATTACCAAAGTTATGATAGATTTAACTTTAGCAAATTACCGGTAGCTTTGCAACCCTAGTTTTGAGTAATATGCTGCAAAACGAAAGTATCATTGTGAAGTGAAAAATATCACCCAGGATATCACTAAGCTCATCTGGTCTTTGAACATAACTGCCAGCATTGGCACAAATGCACACATTGGTCACACAAGTGACCTTATCTGGTATAGCCTTAGCTCAGAACACTGCTCCCTCTATCTATCACGGCAACGTGTCCCACCCTCACCTACGCACAACATCCCTTGCAAGCTCCCACACTCACTCAGAAACAACAGGGTAAGGATTGAGCCTAACAAAGGGGGAGAAATCAATAAATATTTAATCTGTAATCGCAGACGTCTGATCTAGTGAACAACTGTAGGGGTTTAATAATTCTCCTCCCAAAACGCGTTAGTTATTTCAATAACATGAGTTGTTTCACACTTGTCAATTCTAACCTATACAGATGGCATTGGAAAGGAAAATAAATATAAACAGCCAAACTGCAGCTCTGCACGCAGTGTGGTACTGCCTCTCTATATATCTACAAAACACATGGCTTAGCTCAGGAATTTCAATTATGTTTCTGTGTGGTGTTTTATGTAAAAGGCTCTCATGAAACACACTGAGCAGAATACCAAGAGAGTAAAAACTGGGTACTGACGACAAGAGTCCACCACAGTGGGAATTTACATGGAACCTAAGTCAACTCTAAAATGTAACAAACTGTAAACTCCTACAAATTGGATTTCTATTCAGTTCTCGTTACCTATAATTCAACAGGACAAAAAATGAGCTGTTCTGTTCCAGACACATTTGGCAAATCATCTGTCAGCTTCAACTGTGGCGGGGCTGATTCTCTCTGACTTGGACTGCCAGTGTGACAGTGTTACCATGGCAGCCAGGAAGACAATTCCCTTTCACAATAGGCTTTCTCATCCCCCATCAAAGAGCTCTGTTCATTAGCTACAGAATGGGAGGAATGTCTTCTGCTTCACTGGCTGCTTTCTGACATCTAATGGGTTTTATACTCAACAAGCATCTGAACACGTTCTTAGAAGGATTTACAATCTATTCATCTGCACAGAGTGATGTACTGTAGGGTCACTGGTGAATAGAACCTTTTAGTCCAGGTGAATTCCACCACATCAGTCATGGACACAGTCATGGACACGGGGGAAGTACATTAGAAATGCATTGACATTAACATTAGGTAGGGTTTCCTAGGCAAGTCAGCAGGACTTTCCAACATGGGTCAGGCGCTTTTCAATAGGAACTAAGAAGGGAAGGACTTTCCTGAGACAGGAAACACAAGACAAACATGCTGCCACAACAACAATTCTTACACAATTCTGACCTGACCTCAGTTATAGAGAGAGAGATTCTGTTTATAAACAAACAGCTGGCTCTCACTGCAGGACCAACAATGGATCATCTGGATCAAAAGGATGAAAAGGACATTCATTAGCTTGTTGCTTCTGCACATTTTTCCACTTTAACCAAGATTAACATGAGCTCAGTGACAGCTCCCACATACCAAAACTCACATTGGCCTACTTACTGCAGGTCAGGAATACACTCCTCCTGTACTCAAGGGAAGCAGCCTACATTCAAACAACCCAACCCACCAACCCACTGTTCTACTGTAAAAATAGAGTGCTATTATATAAGAAAGATTATCCTTATTTATTTCCTTATAAGAACTCAGCCAACATATACAGAGTAGATATGCATGCATTTGCCATGGAAAGATTCTAAGAATCTATTAGTTTATTCTTCCCACCTTGGGGGCAGGGGGATTTTGTGTAAGCCAAACAGAAGAGAGTAAATAAACTGCAACATGGGCTGGGGTAAGAATTGAGCCACATGAAGCCCAGTATTTATAGAATCTATCTTATGTGTTGTCCTTTCACTGGAATGCCAGACTTGGTCATGAGAGAGAGACCTATGATCCCTCAGAACTGTCTCTGAACAAACATTGTTGCCTTCTGTTTAGCTGACTGTTGTGTTTCAATAATGCAGACTTAAGCCATAAGAAAAGCTTATTTAAAAATAGAGCTCCCTGGAGCTCTTGTACAAATCTTGAATTGCCATTGATAACATCTCACTTTCATATCAAAACATTAAATTTAACATAATTGTAACTGTGACTTATTTGCCAAAAACAACCAATGTGTTGTTCACATCTCCCTCGCTTCACATCTGGTATTCATTTTCTAGAACTAGTAGCCTGTAATGAATTCCTCACTTCACTTACTATCTTCATTGATGTTTCTCCTCTGAAGAGGTTGAATTTAAATCCTGTTGATGTTATTGACTGACAATGTTTTAAGACCTAGAAGTTCAAACCTGTGAGTTCACCAGAGCAGATGTCTGATGGAACTATTTGGAATAATTTCTCATGGTCTTGATTCTGGTTTTTATCATCTCAGATATTTGGCCATGGACTTTGAGACATTATGACCATGTTGTTATGGCAATGCATTTGAGGGCTGCAGTATAGCCTAGTGAATACTGTTGCAATCCACAGCTATGAGGATATGCTGTGAGTCACAAAGCCCTGAGTGGGCTGCTTTTGCTTAGTGGCAATTATACAGAGTGATATTTCAGAGCCCTCTGATCCTGGTTCTAATGATGACTTTGAGCGTGCCTTGCCTTGAACAATAAATTCATAGAGGTGCCATGCAACTCTCCTGAGCTACTGCTTGGATGAAAGGGCCCCCAGAGACTGATGTAAAGTATGTAAATGTATGCCCTCACTACTGTAAGTCGCTCTGTATAAGAGTGTTTGCTAAATGACTAAAATGTAAAAATGTAAATAAGCAGGGCTGAGGTCTCCTGTAGCTCAGTTGGTAGAGCATGGCGCTTGCAACGCCAGGGTTGTGGGTTCAATTCCCACGGGGGGCCAGTATGAAAAATGTATGCACTCACTAACTGTAAGTCGCTCTGGATAAGAGCGTCTGCTAAATGACTAAAATGTCTCTAATGGAATTTTGGCAGTGTATCCCAACCTTGTTACTGTTAAACAGTTCAATGCAACAAGCATGATGTTATTATCTGGATGTGAGTTTGTAACAAATGCATTATATTTGTAATAACTTTAATTTATATTCTATTAGACAACATCTGTCTGTGTTTCTGTCAAAAGGGACCAGCTGACTCCACTGATGTAACCTGTCCTGCATCACCCACAAGCAGTCCTCCTTTCTATGGGAAACACTAAGGGAATGTTTGCCAATTTCCAAAAGGGTTAACATGCATTATGTCAGGATATTCACTCCTGTTGTAATAATATGTTATGATACATAGGAGATAATGGGGGATGTGACGCCAATAAGGATGAATTGCCATCTGTTGGATAAATGTTCAATAGGCCTACAGGTAGTCTGTTAATGTTTTGTCAGTAGCCTCACATTATTCTTTGGAACAGATGTGAAAATATGTTTCTGGTTGATAATCATGTGAAGTAGCCTACCCTAGTCCGGAGGATTCCAATGTTTTAGGAGCGTCTTTATTTTTGCGCTCTTGTCGGCTCCCATTTTCATGGTGTGAACATAACGGGAAAACCTGTCACCGCCTTATAATGGCGAATTCCGATAAGTCATTTAGATTGCCTACTGGAATGATTACCTTCAAAACGCCTATTTCACTTTTTAGACATCTAAACAGGTCGTTGTCTAAAGTTCTCATAAATAGCCTACGGATGCGATAAAAACAAATCAATTTAAACCGTGCGTTTCAAGCTGCGCTGCCTTACCTGAGCTTATGCCATAAATAACCACTTGAAGAATCGCGTCCTCCGATTGTGGCCAGATAACGTGCCTTTCCAGCTTCCAAGCGCCTTCTTCTTTCGTACTTTACCAGGCTACCGCTCTACAATGTATGTAGTGGAGAATGGATGAGGATGGTTAGGGGGATTTCCGTTTGGTCCCGGACCTCCTCACCGTTTACACATGTGTGTGACGATGCTGCAGGCACAACTGGATGGCCCCTCCCACGCCCTGAACTCAGCTGGCCCAGCTGGACAGCATGCTTTATTGTGGCATGGGATTGAGATAGGTAGAATACAAACGTCCCAACAGGTTGCAATAACGTAGCCAATCTATCATATTCTATTTTGCAGCCTACTATTCTGTTTGTATTCTATTCTGTTGTATTATATTTGCATAGGAATCTTGCCTTTCAAAAGTGTCCCTGGGAAAAGGTGATACCAGGTAGGCCTACAGTTTCTTATTGGAATGCCACTTACCTTATCTGGCTCAGGATTACAGTATTTTAGCCTGATTACCCTGACCACGTGGTAAACCCAAGAGGCCAGGCCTAACCTAGTTTGAAGATTAAAGGTAATAATTATTTTCAACCAAGGGTCAAACCAGGCTTAATTAGTCTATCCATAATGGCTCCAAAACACAAGGATAATCTCCTCTGTTCCCCTCACCTCGTTGACCTCTCACCTTCAAGAGTCCTGACGAGTTAGAGTTTGGACAATACAGTATGCTTGGAGTCTTGATATTACATATGATGTCTATGTACTGTATTTTCCTAAATCAAGTTGCAAACTTGGGACTCCCAGAGCTTAAAGAGAATGATGCAAATCATGTTACAGTGAATGACATGAGATGGTGCATTAAATCTTTGGTCTCATTTTATGTAAATCACCAATGCAGAAAAGCCCATAATCTGTACATGAAACCAAAAAGTAATGCAAAATATCTGCACTTTGTGGGGGAAAAAACATGTATTATTTTCTATTGCATCCTTTAGCTGGTGGGTGTTTCCAGTCAAGCTCAGACTGTAGGGTAGAGAAGATGAACATCTTGGACTCTGTGATGAAGACTGCGTCGGCAACTTCCATTTGCCTCCTGACATTCAAAGTTCAAAGTAATGCTAATTTAGGTTTGGGGTCTTGAGTCCTGTTCCTGATGGTTCAAATTGAGACCTTGTTTGCAAGCCTCTTGTGTGTACAGACACACATAGATTTTCTCTATTAGAGGTTATTCTGATGACACGTGTAACCATGTTACGTCTTATTAGTTCAGTCATTTACTCTGTTTTATTACGTATCATGTCTTCCATGTACGCTTTTATTGTTTTGAGTGTTAATTCATTCATAACTAATACATCTATTAGTTGGTTTGAGTAAATGCATTCCTCGTTTATAGAGTAACTATTTGATTGACTACTTCATAATTTAGAACTGGTAAATCCTAAATCATAGAGTTAATTACACATACATTTGTATGCTTTGCGGACTGGGACCAGAAATCGGCTCTGGCATTTCTAACACACCGGCCCATTTTTTCCCCTCGAGGCCCCCACACAGGCCCATTTTATTCCTTGAGGCCCCCATTTATAGCCAGATAATGATAATCAAAAAATAAAACATATACAAATAAAGTTAGACAGGCCCAATATGCTAAAAATAGGCCGGCCCATCTGGCATTTGCCCGAAATGTTAGATGGCCAGTCTGCCCCTGTCGCTCTGTGTGTGTGTGTGTGTGTGTGATTGATTTAGAACTTTCCGAGAAGAGAAATGTTCATGAATGTATTACATTTTTTACATTTTAGTCATTTAGCAGACGCTCTTATCCAGAGCGACTTACAGGAGCAATTAGGGTTAAGTGCCTTGCTCAAGGGCACATTTACGTCATTTAGCAGACGCTCTTATCCAGAGCGACTCACAAATTGGTGCATTCACCCTATAGCCAGTGGGATAACCACTTTACAATTTTTTTTGGGGGGGGGGGGGGGGGGGGGGGGGGTAGAAGGATTACTTTATCCTATCCCAGGTATTCCTTAAAGAGGTGGGGTTTCAAATGTCTCCGGAAGGTGGTGAGTGACTCCGCTGTCCTGGCGTCGTGAGGGAGCTTGTTCCACCATTGGGGTGCCAGAGCAGCGAACAGTTTTGACTGGGCTGAGCGGGAACTATGCTTCCGCAGAGGAAGGGGAGCCAGCAGGCCAGAGGTGGATGAACGCAATGCCCTCGTTTGGGTGTAGGGACTGATCAGAGCCCGAAGGTACAGAGGTGCCGTTCCCCTCACTGCTCCATAGGCAAGCACCATGGTCTTGTAACGGATGCGAGCTTCAACTGGAAGCCAGTGGAGTGTGCGGAGGAGGGGGGTGACGTGAGAGAACTTGGGAAGGTTGAACACCAGACGGGCTGCGGCATTCTGGATGAGTTGTAGGGGTTTAATGGCACAGGCAGGGAGGCCAGCCAACAGCGAGTTGCAGTAATCCAGACGGGAGATGACAAGTGCCTGGATTAGGACCTGTGCCGCTTCCTGTGTAAGGCAGGGTCGTACTCTCCGAATGTTGTAGAGCATGAACCTGCAGGAGCGGGTCACCGCCTTGATGTTAGCGGAGAACGACAGGGTGTTGTCCAGGGTCACGCCAAGGCTCTTCGCACTCTGGGAGGAGGACACAACGGAGTTGTCAACCGTGATGTACCCTATCTTACCCTTGTTTCAAACATTGTTAAATTTTTTCATTCAAAAATGATGTTCTAATGTTATCATATTATAATGGCCAGTCTGGTACAGTTTTCATAGTTAAATAAATATTACACTTTGACACCAAAAAGTTAATATTCTTTCATTATTTACAACATTTTCATATTGCAATGATAAAAATGGATCACTTTAAAGTCAGCAAAAAGTATTTGAATATGCCACAATAGAACAAATAGATCAACATGCTTACAAATATCACTGTAATGCAATACGTATCATTTTAAATCCACAATATCATGCAAGTTCCATAATAAATGATGTGTAGTGCACTTAAACTACACCTCCCATAATGGTTTGTTTTCAGGAAGTGAATGAGTCCGAGTTGAAAGTTCGAAACGGTCAACCACTGTGCGTCCAACCCATACATGCTACAACAACAAACATCTTTAGGACGTTGATTTAACGTTTGTTTTGGTAGCTATTATAGTGTAAGAAAGAAAGATAACATGACAGCGAAAGACCTTTTGCAGATTGACCTGTATGGTCTACTGGGTATTAAAGGCACAGCGACAGCGAAAGAGGTGAGTGATAGCTAGCTTGCTAACTAGCTAGCTACTGTAGATAACTAACTAACGTTAACTAGCTAGCTTGCAAACTTTGACGCCTTGTGTAACTTAGTATTAGGTTAGTTAGTTAGCTAACGTTAGTTGCTTTGAAGTTGGTACTTAATAACATAGCTAATGGCCTCCTATCTCTGCTCTTCCAAAAGGTGCTAGCACAGACGGCAGGGGTTAGTTATAAATATTTGGTGCTAGTGGATATGTTATACCAGCTAGCTCTGATCCCGTCACGCGACGACAACAACGAGTTGCCTCTGCTGTGTTAGTAGAGGAACGCGCACTTAGCCTTGGACCAGAGCTACTAGCTAGCTAACTTAACTAGCTAGGTTGGTTATGAACGTTAATTACCTAATAATTGTATTAGGTCAGAATTTGTACATATGGATAATGTCATTTGCAATATTTCTACCAAGCCTGTAGGTCCTGTGTGTTCTAAGTAAAGTATCTTCAAATGGCCACTAAGTGGCGGCATAGTACCGTTCAAAATTCAATGTACCTATAGAGCCAGCCATTTAGGATTTCTGCAGATGTAGGTAGTATCTGAAGGAGCATGCAGATGCAGTGCAACACCTCCTGGAGCAGATGTCTTCTGAAATGATAAATCATGCTCTTAAGCCAATGCATCATGTTGCCAAAATTAGACTGCGGCTTCCTTATCTAGCACTATACGAAGCTCCTGTTTGATTCTCCCAAGGGATACCAACAAGTACCGGTTGAGCCAGCATTTGGATAAGTTCAATAAACAAATTGTCTTCCTCAATATCTCTTATTGTTTGCAAATCATAAATTGTACTGCAGTCTGCATGTTAAACAAGTATCATGTTTGATTGCTTGCTCAAACAAAAGGCTGCTCTACTTAATTGAAACAGAATGTAGCGGGTTAGTCTGAATGACATTATGTGCAGACATGGGTATTTGGTTTGCTCCGGGAAGATTCCCCTTTCCTTGTCCTCCATTTTCCCTGCCCATGCTCCATGGGTGATAGGCCTACGTGTGTCCCCCAATCCAGTAATTTTCACGACCACCTCCTTGCTAAGTTTCAAGCTCCTAAAATCCGCAGGCCAGAATGAAATTAACATTGCTGCCAAATTGTGGGAATAACTTAATTTCTTAATTGGATTTCAAAGTCTCATCCACCCCAGAGGAGTATTTTAGGGAAATTAGTGGTTGTGGCTTGGACAGAAAGAGTCACTGAAATGGGGAGCCAAGTTTTGTGAGGTCTGCTGATGGTCAGGAAAGATGGTGAGCCGTAGTGCGTACACCAGTGCGTGTGTGGGGACTGGTAGGCCTTGAAACAAAGTGGTGCAATCTATGAAGACCGATGTCATATGTCACAGTTGTTTTCTCCCACTGCTACACCAGGAGGACTGCTGTTTATCATTGAGAGAGGAAGTACTCCAATATCATGTTAATGTGGGCTTAGCAACAGCTTTTAAACCATTCCCTGATGAATCTCGGCTTCCTGTTACTCCTCCTGATTTGAATTATCTCTGTCGTTATCTCTGGTTTTGAAATTCCTCTCATTTTGGATTGCAGATATTATAGCTAGGGTGCTGGAGCTGGTGGCTTGGAACCTGTGGTTTATGCACATCACTGAGTGAATCATTATCTGGAGTTCTTTTTTACATAGATTTCTCCTGTAGCTGACACAGTTAAACAGGCCAGCTATCACTTTTCAGCCACATGCTCCTGCATATCAGCAGGGATAAGAAGTGGCTGTTTTACCTACTAAGAGAACAGAGGAAGGGAAAAGACTGGACACAGTTTAGTCACCAACATATTCAATAAGATTCAGCTATGTGGCTGCCTGGTGCTATTTCTGTTGGCAAATAAAGCACAATATAGCCTACCTATAGCGTGACTGTTTTATATGTAGACACAATCTAGCCGTCTGTCTGAGTTATGTGCAGACATTATTCACCAGCAGATGTCTTTGTGGACGTTATCATGACAGCACAGCGTTTACTTGTGGAGCTCCTTCCTCTCCTTCTCATTGCTCTTCGTGTCTGGCTCCCTGACTGCAGTAACGTTAGGCCTCAGCGGCTAAAACAGCTCATGGTACTGTAGCTTAGCTAGCTGTGGGAGTGGAGGGGAATAGAGTGACCCCCTGCCAGGCTGGCTGCGTTTCACTGTGCATCCTACCTTTGCGCTCTGCTGCCTGCATCCATGCAGAAGACACTTTCCTCGGGTGGGTGAGTAATTCCGCTGGCCCTTGGCAGGCCCCACTCATGCTAATTGTATCACTGTCCCAAACAAATGTTCCTATCAGGCGAGTTATGATCGGCTCAGGACGCATTATGTCTTAGTAGACACACACACACACATTCACTTTATACCCCCAACCTCTGTAGATATTTTATAGTTTCCTTTTCTTTCTTCCCCCGCACCACTCCCTTCTCCTTCTTTCACTCCCTCTCTCTTTTTCTCTCTCTTTCTTCCTTGCATGCATTTTCTCCAGCAGATAATTTCCTAATAATGCCAGATCAGTGTAATTTAGGAGGATGGCCCAATTGCAGAGCAGGTAGCTAATCAGCCACCCATGTGGGTCCTGCTGTGGCTGTGTTGGGGCCAGTTGTCAGCTGTAAGAGGCACCACAGACGGGTAATGAGTACAAGATGTGGGCATGCGGTAAAGACTGTGGCATGCAGCGGGTGGCAGGGAGAGTCTGATTTCACCAGGCACTAACTATTAGGCTACTGTGTGCCTGCTGGTACTGTAAGTAAGTAGCCCACTGCTAAGGAGTGAGGGATGGGCTTGATTATCAAATCAAATCGAATGTTATTTGTCACATGCCCGAATACAACAGGTGTAGATGTTACCGTGAAATGCTTGCTTACGAGCCCTTCCCAACGATGCAGAGTTGAAAAATAGTCACACAGAAATAATTAAATACACAAGAATGGAGCTCTATACAGAGAATACCAGTACCAGTTCAATGTGCAGAGGTACGAGGTATTTGAGGTAGATATGTGCATGAAGGCAGGGTAAAGGGACTAGGCATCAGGATAGATAATAATACAAGTAAAATAAAGAACAGAGTAGCAGCAGCATATAATGAGTGTAAAAGTGTGTGTGTGTATGTGTTGTGTCGGAATGCATGTGTGTTATGTGTGTGTGCGTATGCAGTGTTTGTGAATGTGTGTGGGTTTTGTGTGAGAGTGTCAGTGTAGTGTGTGTGTGTGTGTGAGTGAGTATATAGACATGTATAGTCTTGTGAGTGTGCATAGAGTCAGTGCAGATAGTCCTGGTAACCATTTTAATTAAGGTAATTTCCATGAAAAGTACCCATGAGCACCAATGTGAAGTTCATAGGAGCATATGAAATTGGGTGTCAAATGAAAGCTAAGAGTCTATATTTTTGAGAAATTAAGGCATATATAAATTTTTCAACCATTTTCCATCCTAAAAATTTGGAATAAGCAAAGGCTTTGATTTCTGGTCAAACAGATGGAAAAGGGGTCTTAGAAAACATCTACCTGAAAAAGTCTTAAATTCAGTTACCAAAACCCCATATATTTTAAAGCTATTTTCTAATTTCTTTCCCTCATGAGAAGGGAGGTTAATGAAAATTCACAGAAGTAACAAGTAAAGGTAGACCTATCAATTAGTTAGTGTTTTTACTAATATCAATTTTGTTTATGAATTATTAAGTGATTAAAACTCAAAATTCTGTTTCTAAATCAGTAACGTAATTTCTGCAATTGAATTTGCTACAATGGGAAATCATGGTAGTCACAAACCACAGTTTGGTTCACAAGTTTAGACAGCGCAGCACAGTAGAGTATAGTGTTGTCACAATACCAGAATTATGACATCGATACCGATACTACAGTAGGTTTAATATCACAATACTCGATACCATCATGATACCACAGCAGAAAAAGAAGGCCTATTAGCCTAACTCACAGAATGGCACTTTATCCAGACAGATCTTTTGAGTTCCATATCATTACATTTTAAATGTTCAATGTTTGAATGTATCAATTATACAATCATGCAGTCAATTTGACTTTTTTAAATCTTTTTTTTAACCAATCTAACTACATAACATAATGGTAATAATTTGTTTAAATGGTAAGTCTCTTGATAAACTGGGTAAATCAAGATGTAGCCAAGGCCTATTCACAATACAGGTGAATTCATATTCAATAGGAGTGTGTGCGTGCATTGAGTTATTGAGCTGATTTCATGGGTCTACAGATGAAAAACAATCTGTTTCCCCATCATTTGGGACTTATTTTATTGTACTGATCAGCAACATTTGCATAGAAGAAGCAATCTCTTATTTTATAAAAGTGCGCGCTGTCTCACTCACTCATGTTCGAGCTCGAGCAAAGATGATCTTGACTGGGAGAGACGTGAGGCGGGGGAGACAAAGTTAATGAAGAACGTTTTTGGTCACAATCACCTTTGAAATCAGCAAAATTTTACATTATGGTTAGCATATTATCACAAGGTACTAGGGTAGGAAATTGATCTTAGCTTCAGCTGTAAGCTAGCAAGGAAAGTTAGCGTACAAAGCTGGAAGCTACCTGTATCCTCTTGCATTGTAAAGTGTTCTAGCCTGTAATGGACATTTTGGCGAACAGTAATTAAGTTTCAACATTTCTACATGCCGTGTTGCATTATTCAAGTGTCTTAAAGCTGCAATATGTAAGTTTTTTTGGGCGACCTGACCAAATTCACATAGAAATGTGAGTTATTGAAAGCAAGTCTAAGAAGCGGTACATCTGTTCTATGTGCACTATTTCTATGCTTCCCGTTTTAAAGTTTAGTTTTTGCGTCTTTTACTTTCGGTTTTGTACATAAGCTTCAAACAGCTGAAAATACAATATTTTGGGGTATGCGGTTTAGATGGTACAATGATTTTCTACACTAAACTTGCTTGTTTTGTCACAAAAACGGAAATTAGGCGAACTATTAGAATTTTAGCAACCAGAAAATGGCAGAGCAATTTCTGCATAGTGCATCTTTAACTTCTGTGCAGCATAAGTGGTAATGCAGCCCAGACTCCCAGTGAATGCAGTGGTTCCACAGGACAAGCTAGACCATGGATGGGCAACTAGGCAGCCCGTTTTGAAGGCACTCAGATTTTTTTTATGGGGGGGGGGGTTAAATGTGTAGAATTGCAAGAAATGATATGAGTACGCAGGATGTGGGTATGCAGACCTGTGAGAAACTGCGACCCCTCATGGTGAGTTCAGATTTTAGCTTAAATTTTAAGTGAAAAATCTGTTACTGTGGAATTGCCCATAACAATTTAGCAGTCTTATGGCTATTTAGCAGTCTTATGGCTATTTAGCAGTCTTATGGCTTGGGGATAGAAGCTGTCTCGGAGCCGGACGGTAGCAGAGTGAACAGTCTATGGCTTGGGTGGTTGGAGTCTTTGGCAATTTTTCGGGCCTTGCTCTGATACCACCTGATATAGAGGTCCTGGATGGCAGGGAGCTGTCCGCACCGCGCCACGGTAGTCTTATGGTTCATTGGCTCCTTTAAGAAGTCTCACTCTCATAATTGATTTAAGATATCCAGCACTGGAAAAACGGTAATGAGCAGTAGACCTGTAGTTGCCACTGTTATTGATCCTCCTCACTCAAGAGGACCTGTCACTCGACCTGCGATTTCTACTTTTCCTTATCACTGAATTAGCTCACTCTAAAGTTGTCCCACATTGGCATGTACAGAGGACACTGGGTCTACCTCAATTAGGGCTTGCGTGTTACATCAGTGATGGGACTAACCATGTATTTAACTAAATTCAGGGCTGAGGGAGCAGTATTCACTTGCCAGCAGTAGATGAGAGGGAGATGGTGCAGGGGGAGAGGTACCTGGCATTAGACTGGCCTGACGGGTCTTATGGAGCCCCAGTGCCGAGCACAGCACTATGAAACCCAGTCAGTAATCCCCAAGGGGGTGTCCCTCTGCTGTTGGAGTGCTTGCACACATCTACCAAATAGGCTGTTATTAACACAGAGGGGATCTCTCCCTCTTCCTATCCTTCTCCCCCACCCCATCCTCCAGCCCCTGAGCCCAGTTCCTCTCAAGGCGATGAGAATAAGGGTCTCTGTAGAGCTTGTTAAAAGGAGGTGAGGTAACCACTCTGAGGGATTACTGATGGTGTTACAATTACTAGCGTGGAGGCTTTTCAGCACAGCGGGCTTGATGACAGGTTGCTCTTGTTCAAGAGCTCTGTAGATGTCCAGGCAGCTGGAGAAACCTACTTTGACCGAACAAAATGACAGCGACACGTAAACTTATCAGATTGGTCCGGTGATGGCCAAATCCGCTATGTGAATTGAGGACACGGCCTGACCTCTCAACTGGCTGATGTGTTTCTCTTGGGCAGTAGCAGTGCTGCGTAACTCAGGAGCTTCTCATTACGCTCTGCTCGCTGCCAAACAGGACATCTGACGCTGACTCACTCTTTGGTTGAGGTAATGTGCTGGCCATGAGCTGAAGTCTGGGGAGAAAAGAGACAAGAAATGCAGCAGAGCAGAAAGTGACTGGATACTAGAGGTGGTAGGAGGTTGAGGGGGAAGCGTTGCTGCTTGAAATAGTTCCACAGACCTGAATGTTACTGTATGTAGGAAGCTCTCTGAGTGAAGGGCTGTAATAATGTGTAGCCTCACAGAGTGATTTCACTGAACTGGGTTATGATTGATTGGCAGCACGGGAGAGATGAGGTGGAGGTGAAAGGGGTAGGGCTAGGAATTGCCAGAGACCTCACGATACGATATTATCACGATACTTAGCTGCTGATACGATATTTACGTAATTTAGCAGACGCTCTTATCCAGAGTGACTTACAGGAGCAATTCGACAGATTTTTCACCTAGTCGGCTCGGGGATTAGAACCAGCGACCTTTCGGTTACTGGCACAACGCTCTTACCCACTAAGCTACCTGCCGCCCAATATGTATTGGGATTCTCACGATGTATTGCGATTTGATGTTCCAAACATATTGCTCACTATATGTCTGCTGCAGAGAGGCGAGAGAGCCATGAGAAAATGAGTTTTGATCAGTCAGGGAAATAAAAGTGCTGAAAACATGTTGGCTCACGTGAAGAAGGAGAACAAGCTGTAAGATGAAAAATACCAGCGTTTTGGCGCTGGTACAGCGGACTAGCGCTAGATAATGCTACCTAGCAATGAACAAATATTTGGATTCAAAGTATCGATATAATTTCGCGATATGTAACTATAGATTTTTCCCCCCATCACTAGAAAGGGGGGAGGTGAAAGAATGCTGGCAGGGCTGATTAGGACGGGAGGTCTTCACTGGGCATAGAGGAGTGGTTTGAAAAGCTGGCGCTCTGTCTCTTCAGAGAGCTGCTTTGTCTCTCAATGGGCCCTGCTTCCTCTCTGGAGGAGTAGACATCGCCTAATGAAAAACACGTTGTCATTAACTCGCTCAGAAGAACCCAAGAAATGCGGTTAACATTCCAGAGAACTTCGTTTTTTTTTTTAAACGGACTAAAACCTCACTTAAGATTACAATGCTCAAAAGTATTTTTTTCCCCCTAAGTTGGTTGCTCATATTTTCAAATGTTTTGGCTTGAGACCCAAGATATTAATGGCTGCCATCCCAATTTAGTGATGGACAATGGCGCACTGTTTGCGTGTTATTGTAATTTATTCCTCTGCTGCCAATCCAGTCCATATTTATCCTTCTTGAAAAAGCTTTGTCAGCATAAAGGTGACAGCAGTCAAGTCAATCTTTATGTAGCGTGCATTATCACAAGCACAGCAAAGGATGGGTGCAGATATTGATGTGGCCCCATTTGAAACAGAGCCTAAACTCCCTATCAACCACTGAACACGTTTCCACCCCCTGTACCGTCATATCAAAATGTTACTCATCTTTTTATTATGTTTCCAGGAGACCTTCATTTTTATACACATTTCACTTTTCGGGCCAGTGATGGCATGAAAAAGAATAATCGTGTTGGAAATATATTTCAGAGATTCTAGATTGCCAAGATGCATACAGCGGTTTGGAATATTCAGGAAAAACAACCCTGAAGGCATTCTTTCGAAAACAACAACAAAGTACAGTCTCTACCACAAAGTCCAACCAAGGTGCACAAAATGAAGAACTAACTGCATGCATCTACAAAAATATGAATCCACTCTGGGGGCAGTTAAAAACAACAACACAACACAGTGATAGAGGATCTGGCCATTCCAGGTTATTGGACGAGGGAGACCTGTTTTTCTGTCTGGAGAGTTAAAACCACAACATTTGATACTGAACATAGTGGACTGGGACATAACAATGTGAATAATAATGTGCGGACCTAAATCCATGCATACTAAAAGAGTAAACACTCTGACTGATTTAATTCTCCCCTTTTCTTCTGTAGATCAAGAAAGCCTACCGACAGAAAGCCTTGACATGCCATCCAGATAAGAACCCAGACAACCCAAAAGCAGGTGAGTGAAATGACACCTTGTGTATCGGCCTTCTGCCTCTGTAGCAGATTGTAAAACCTGAACTCCATCACCACCAGCTACGTCCATGATTGTGACCTGACACACGCTGTGAGAATATAGTGTGTGTGTGTGTTCAGTGTCTTGTATGACTGGGAGGTTAACATGGGTATTCATGTGCAGTGTGGCCCTGTCAACAGGCACCATGGTGACATCTACTCTCCTAACCCACAACATTACATGCTGACATCTCCTCCACTAAACCCTCTAGAGTCTGACCTTGCTGCCAGATGGACCTCCACGACTAACCAGAGCAGAGCCTTCCCACAAGCCCTCCAGCCATGCGGGCCAGCCCCAGCCAGACAGCATGACTAGCGTTTACCCAGTCAGCCCCTTTGGCACTCCGCGGCCTGTCGCCAACAAACGTCAACAATCAGTTTCGGAAGTTTCAATATAATTCTCTGTCAGGGGAAAAAAGGCACCGTGGCGAAGGCATGTCGTAAGGCATGTTTTCAAGTGAGGTTTGTGCGGTTGCTGGATGCCTCTTACTATTCCTGATTAAGTCAAAAATGGGAAAGAAGGGGGTAATGGGGGGCTGAGTGGAATAAAACTGCTCGATTTCCCAGAAATTAAAAGGAGATGTTGAAGATTATGCTCTTTCACATCACATGCACTGATTTACCCACTCACACGAGAGGTTAAGAGCCCTGAGACTGTAGCCCGAAGCGATGGGGGGGTGTTGAGGTGGGGGTGACGTTCCACCCCCCCCCCCCCCCCCAATATACACCCCCTGTGCTGTAACAGTCTGAGCTGCTCCAGACAATGTGGCACTCCAGCAGGCTTTCATTCAGCCAGCTCTGCTCCATGTGCGTAGGTAACTTTACCCGTCCACTTGCAGCAAAGTCTCTAGAGCCTGCTGTTTGTGTGCTGCTTTTATCACAGGGAGTAACAGTAGAGGCCCGTTAGATAGGGGAAAAAAACTCCCATAAGTGAGTGATTAAGCGTGCAGTAGTGGGGCTGTTATGAGCTGGGGGTTTGCGGTGCTGGGGGGGGTGGATAGAGGCGAGCGCCGGGGATTTGCGTGGTACTTGTGATTGCCCCTGTGGCCCCTTAGGGCTCCCTAATGGGAGATGGATTGAGAGGCCTGGGTGGATTTATGTGGGAAAAGTGTGAGTGGATCATTGGGGAACCAGGTTTCGTGAGACTCCAGGCACATTTTAACGCAGGAAATGTCTCCGTTTATGTCAGCCCTGGGTCCTGCGTTGGCAAGGAGACATCACAGAGAGCACACGCCTGCTCGTTTTTTAAACCCTGCCTCATTTCGGTCCTCTACATGCAACGCACAGCCCCCCCGGTCTCTCCCTCTCTCTCCCCTCGCGTGTTAGCAGCTCACTAAAGTATCATTACCTTGCGTTGTTAACCTTTGTTCCATTTGGTTGCTGTTTTTAAAACTAACATTCTACACATACACTATGGCCCCCTTAACCACATCTTAAGTCCTCACTGAGCAGGAATATGAGATTGTGTATGTTTCTATGTATTGTACAGTATTTATTATCTCTAAAATATGACAGTGTCCTTGGTGTTTCCTCCGCAGCTGATCTCTTCCACCAGCTGTCCCAGGCCCTAGAGGTGCTGACTGATGCTGCTGCCAGGGTAAGACTTCTGTCCTCTCTGTCTGTCTGATACACACCCATCATCCATACCCCCCACCAGGCCCTCTTTCCCTCTTCTCTCCAACTGTTCATCACATCAAACTGTCCTCCTCTCCTCTGTTTCAGGCTGCTTACGATAAGATATGCGCTGCCAAGAAACAAGCAGAGGAGAGAAACAACAAGCTAGATGCTAAGAGGAGGAAGATCAAGCTAGGTGAGCCCTCAGACCTGTGCCAACTCAACAAGCACTTCCCTCAGTAACACAAAACTGGCGATTTAGGATGATGCTAACTGTGTGTGTGTGTGTGTGTGTGTGTGTGTGTGTGATTTTCACAGACTTGGAGGCCAGAGAACGCCAGGCTGAGGCCCATAGTGCAGAGCAGTTCCAAAACACCAGAACTCTAGAGGAGGAGGTAAGAAAGATCCTAGTTTCCTACTCTGACCCTAGAAGAACAGATTATACAGGACTGTTTCACTTGAATGCCAATCCCTCACCCACACACAGTCAGGTCTAGAGCAGTGAGGTGGCAAAAACAATAGGCATCCTGGAGGATGGATGAAGCAGAATATACAATACATGCTCAGCTCAACTGCCTGCACCACACACAGTCAGCCCCAGAGTACAGCTGTTTGAATCACTGGCTTAGTGAAGGTAACACACACAGCCACCTCCACTCTCCTCGGCCCTCATACCCTCTCAAACAGCTGAGCCTATCGCTGTTATAACGCACACTTTCACATGTTTCCCTTGATTGACCTTGAAATTCACTAAATTTCAAGGTCAATCAAGACGTGGGCAAACAACGAAGCCGCAGCGATATCTCGCAGAAGTGTTTTATTTTGTACTTATTTTTCTCCCCAATTTTGATCTTGTCTCATCGCTGCAACTCCCCAATGGGCTCGGGAGGCGAAGGTTGAGTCATGCATCCTCCGAAACATGACCTGCCAAACAGCGCTTCTTAACACCCGCCTGCTTAACCCAGAAGAAGCCAGCCACACCAATGTGTCAGAGGAAACACCGTTCATTGTTAACCCTGGGGTTGTTGTCCTGTCAGATTGCCCGTCTGAGAGAGGAGGGCTCCAGGCAGCTGCAGGAAGAACAGAGGCTGATCAAGGAACAGATCCAGAGGGAGAGGGAGACACAGCTCCACCACACAGGCACATCAGACTACACATCTACAGGTACAGCACCTAGAGCTACAGTGGGGAAAAAAAGTATTTAGTCAGCCACCAATTGTGCAAGTTCTCCCACTTAAAAAGATGAGAGAGGCCTGTAAATTTCATCATAGGTACACGTCAACTATGACAGACAAAATGAGAAAAAAAAGAATCCAGAAAATCACATTGTAGGATTTTTAATGAATTTATTTGCAAATTATGGTGGAAAATAAGTATTTGGTCAATAACAAAAGTTTCTCAATACTTTGTTATATACCCTTTGTTGGTAATGACACAGGTCAAACGTTTTCTGTAAGTCTTCACAAGGTTTTCACACACTGTTGCTGGTATTTTGGCCCATTCCTCCATGCAGATCTCCTCTAGAGCAGTTATGTTTTGGGGCTGTCGCTGGGCAACACAGACTTTCAACTCCCTCCAAAGATGTTCTATGGGGTTGAGATCTGGAGACTGGCTATGCCACTCCAGGACCTTGAAATGCTTCTTACGAAGCCACTCCTTCGTGGCCCGGGCGGTGTGTTTGGAATCATTGTCATGCTGAAAGACCCAGCCACGTTTCATCTTCAATGCCCTTGTTGATGGAAGGAGGTTTTCACTCAAAATCTCACGATACATGGCCCCATTCATTCTTTCCTTTACACGGATCAGTCGTCCTGGTCCCTTTGCATAAAAACAGCCCCAAAGCATGATGTTTCCACCCCCATGCTTCACAGTAGGTATGGTGTTCTTTGGATGCAACTCAGCATTCTTTGTCCTCCAAACACGACGAGTTGAGTTTTTACCAAAAAGTAATATTTTGGTTTCATCTGACCATATGACATTCTCCCAATCCTCTTCTGGATCATCCAAATGCACTCTAGCAAACTTCAAGACGGGCCTGGACATGTACTGGCTTAAGCAGGGGGACACGCCTGGCACTGCAGGATTTGAGTCCCTGGCGGCGTAGTGTGTTACTGATGGTAGGCTTTGTTACTTTGGTCCCAGCTCTCTGCAGGTCATTCACTAGGTCCCCCCGTGTGGTTCTGGGATTTTTGCTCACCGTTCTTGTGATCATTTTGACCCCACGGGGTGAGATCTTGCGTGGAGCCCCAGATCGAGGGAGATTATCAGTGGTCTTGTATGTCTTCCATTTCCTAATAATTGCTCCCACAGTTGATTTCTTCAAACCAAGCTGCTTACTTATTGCAGATTCAGTCTTTCCAGCCTGGTGCAGGTCTACAATTTTGTTTCTGGTGTCCTTTGACAGCTCTTTGGTCTTGGCCATAGTGGAGTTTGGAGTGTGACTGTTTGAGGTTGTGGACAGGTGTCTTTTATACTGATAACAAGTTCAAACAGGTGCCATTAATACAGGTAACGAGTGGAGGACAGAGGAGCCTCTTAAAGAAGAAGTTACAGGTCTGTGAGAGCCAGAAATCTTGCTTGTTTGTAGGTGACCAAATACTTATTTTCCACCATAATTTGCAAATAAATTAATTAAAAATCTAACAATGTGATTTTCTGGAAAAAAAATTCTCAATTTGTCTGTCATAGTTGTCGTGTACCTATGATGAAAATTACAGGCCTCTCTCATCTTTTTAAGTGGGAGAACTTGCACAATTGGTGGCTGACTAAATACTTTTTTACCCCACTGTATATACCTCCCCCCTCCCTTTTTGTTTTTACACTGCTGCTACTCGCTGTTTATTATCTATGCATAGTCACATTACCCCCACCTACATGTACAAATTACCTCGACTAACCTGTACCCCCGCACATTTACTCGGTACCATACCCCCAGTATATAGCCTCGTTATTGTTACTTTTAATTTAATTAAAAAATGTTACGTTCATTTATTTAGTAAATATTTTCTTAACTCTATTTCTTGAACTGCATTTTTGGTTAAGGGCTTGTAAGTAAGCATTTCACGGTAAGGTCTACACCTGTTGTATTCGGCGCATGTGACAAATACAATTTATTTTGATTTGAAATGCACTCCCTGTGCTGTAACAGTCTGAGCTGCTCAGGCCAATGTGGTACTCCAGCGCCCATATAGAACTTTATTCTTGAAATGTTGGTGATGTAACTCGGGCTCCCGAGTGGCGCAGCGGTCTAAGGCACTGCATCTCAGTGCTTGAGGCGTCACTACAGACCCCCTGGTTCGATTCCAGGCTGTATCACAACCGGACGTGATTGGGAGTCCCATAGGGCGGCGCACAATTGGCCCAGCGTCATCCGGGTTTGGCCGGTGTAGGCCGTCATTGTAAATAAGAATTTGTTCTTAACTGACTTGCCTAGTTAAATAAAGGTAAAAATAAAATAAATAACAGTACGAGAACGCCTCTGACAGTTCCCTATGAAATGACCCGCTGTAAACAAGCAAAACAGAGTAACACATTTAATAGACATTTTTATTGATTAGCATTCTGGATAATGTGTATCCAAGTCTTTACTGTGTTGTTGTGTCAACAAACTGCATATCTGCTTTCACTGGACATCTTCATAGGAAGCGTTAAATATCACTTAGCAACAGCTATGGAGAAGAAAGTGCCGCTCTTGGAACGTTCAACCGCATTGGCCTAACTCTCTCTCTGTATGGCTCTGAACCACACCAGTCACTCAACACTGCACTGACTGCCTTGTTACCCTCTAATGTATTTTTTTGCCCATGGTGCTGTCAATGAGACGCACTGCCAAGCCTGTCTACTAAACCAGGCCAGTCAACAGGGCAGTGAGCGGCCAGTCGGACATATATTATACAGTACCCAGCCCGTCTGGACTGAACAACAATGGAATGTTCTTTGACTTAGAATATGTTATGTTGCTTAGGAACACAAAACTGTTTGTAATATTAGTATGAAAGGCCTATTTTTGTCCTTTGGCAGAGAAATAACCTAGCTACATAATACAGACCTAACAGAACATATACAGCTTCATCATCTGGTTGACTAGCATTCTACCTCTTAATATCACATTTGCGTTTGGGGGGGAAATATGCTGGTTCTGGGCTGGAGCCATCATAAACCGTTGTCTAAATGTCTAATAAAGGGATGTGATGGGAGTCAAGGTTGTGGGAGATGATGAGGTCTTGGCCTGGCCCCCCATTGTGGCTACACACTAAGTCATGCAAGGTCAGCACGTCTTCACTGAGACCATCTGTATCTCTGCTCGCACGCGATTGGGCCTCACCGGGCCTCTGCGGTAAGGACTTCCTGGAACAACGCCCTGTTACGACTCCGGAGGCGCCCGGCGGGTCAGCAGGCTTGGGACCAGTACGGTTGGGGGATGAACAACCAAAGGCTGATCATGTATGACCTGCGGTGATGCGAGACAAGCGGTCCTGTCCGTCTCCCAATGATGGGACAACAATGTCTTGACCACTGTGACGGAGCCCTCCCCGACCAACCGCACGTCTCATTTGTCTTTTTGAAATGTTTTGTCTGCCTGAATAAATAATAGTTTCTTTGTCTTTCTCTTTCTCTGTGTCTCTCCCTTTCCCTCGCTCTCTCGCAGACTCAGCTGTTGGAAGGCATTCCAAGAGCAATGTGACCCCCAAATTAAAAGTAAGTTATAATATTGCTTTTAGTCAGGGGATTGGAAGAGGGGTCAGCTTGTAGGGTTGAGATTCTTGGAGAAGGAATGGTGGAGGAGAGTCTCCATACTGGTGTCCTCCTGAGGAATCTCTGAAGTGAGTTAAACCATGGCCAGAACCTCCAAGGTATTTCATTAGTAAGGGGTTTAGGATGGAAACCAAGACATTTGTGAAATAATGGAGAGCACATACACTCCTCCCCAAGTACGTATGTGTCCTGTTCCTCTGTCTGTTCCTCTCCAGTGTACTGTAGGCCATCGTCAGGAGAGCTGTAACCACGTAAATAGAGGGTTATTATATTTCCTTTGGAAACCACCCAATCCACATCTATTAAAGGACACAGGGGATGTTAGCTAATGTCTTTAAGTATTTAATATTGTTAAAACATCTGATACCCATGAAGAACGGTGTATCCCCCAAATAATCAGTTTGTGTCAGGAAAACAAACGTCAGGGTTGAGTCTTGCTACGGTATTAAACATATCATATTCACGTACTGTACATGTGAATATTATTCCATACATTGCTCTAAGGGGCAGTTGTATCTGATAGTTGGGAACACGCAAGAAGTCAATATCAAAGTCAGACGTCATTTAGTCAGATTTTGTTATGGAGCAATATTGATAGATGAAAATTAATTACATCTGTATCTTTTTTATAGTACAACATTCAAGCCATATTGTTTCTGGCCCTAGAGCGTTGTTCTTTCCTTCAGTATTCTGAATAATTTTGACAAATTTTCGGATGTTATTTTGGTGTAGAATAAATTTCAAAACTACTGGGGGACATTGACCCTTACGTTTCTAATAGTCCTCATCGATTTCAACAGTGCTATTTGGAAGTTGATCATAAACCATTGTTGTCCTCCCCACTGTGGCAGATTCTTTGACAAGAGAGTGAAATATGACCTCTGATTATGCACTGTTATTTTTCCTGTGAGGGTTTTTGTTCTAAAATATTTCGTTATTTGTGGCTTTCAAGCGTGCGTATCAAATGTACCAGAGCAGTTGGGGACTGCCAGGGAACTCCAATCTCTTTAGAGTTGTTTAGACTGTCAGTAACATACACCGCAGCAACGTGCTGGAGCAGCCTGACATTTGGGTATCACCCAAGATCTGTTCCGCCTTGTTAGAAGATTAATGGAATACAAGGTTATCGTTGGGTAGAGGAGAAAGCACATTTTCAAAATAATTGTTTGAAAAAGAAATGTGTGTAGACTGGGCAATTCCCAGAAAGGCTCCCTCTGACAGTGAACAGAGTGTTGGTCTGGACCTTTAGTCTGGCTGCTTGCCTTTGATAATTCTGCTCCAGATAGTTAGCGAGATAAAGTCTTGAACCTGCAGGGTTATGAATGGAATTAGCCTGTTACATAACATCTTACTCAGAGAGCTAAGCACTGGGAAAATGAAACATTTGCAATTGAAATGCTGTACAGTAAATTGAGTAAACTTTCAGCTGTCAGCCAACATTACAGAGATCATTGCTTTATTACATGGTATTTGCTAATAATGACCAGAGCTAACAAGGGGTTTTCTCAGAATAACTCTCACATATTTCTCTGTGAATGAGTGACCCTCACGTTAGCTACATGCCACACATATACGTCTCTGGTTCGATCTGTTTTGCGTTAGGTGCTCATTAAAAGGCCTAGTGATGTGTGTTGCGTTGTGGCTAGCAGTAACCAAGAGGATTAAGTAAGTGTAAGTTCCATAACCAAAGATGGGTTATTTGGCTCTCGGTTTTTCTCTCTTAACTCTATGTATTTTTCTCTTTCAGTTGAAGTGGAAGTGTAAAAAGGAGGATGACACCAACGGGGGCTACTCTCAAGACTTCATTTTGAGCCTTCTATCAAAGGTGGGTGCCCTGAATGTGAATCACCAGATATCACTGCATGGCTGAGATTCAAAAGGCCACCACCTTTAAGTTGGCACACAGTTTTTACTAAGAGCAACAGTTTCTCCCACCTGCATCTTTTGGAAGGAGCTATGACTCATACCGTATGTCTCATATTAAATGTCCTATTTGAATGTGTAATGTAGCAGTAGAGACACTGGTTATATAATCATACTTGTAGAATATATCTCTGAGGGCTTGTCCCCTGCTGCATCACGGACCTGTATCTCACCCCAACTCTCCTGTAATGAGACCTGCCTGGTGTCCAGCTCACGTTTGAGCTCTGCATGACATCAGTGTTATAGATGGTTTTATTTTCCACTTTATACAAGCCCCATTAAGTTTAGTAGCAGTGAAAGCGCTGGGGGCAATGCAGTGCCCTCTTAAAGTGGTGCACGCCATTGTTAGTGCCCCGTTACTGGGCAGGTTTAGCAGTGCCAGGGGAGTTGCTAGGAAATGTGCTCTTCTCATGCAACCGTGTACCACCTCGAACTGCAACCAGCTAAGGGTGTTTTGGTGGGGCTTAGGTTGGGCAGGAATGAGGATAGGGCAAGTCCATGTGTCACTGACGTCAAAAGCTCGAAAAAAGGTTGAACTTTCAATTTCTCCTCCGCACGCACTCAATCAATCAGTCAGGCGTGGGAGGCTGGGTCAAAGGATTGTGGGAAAACAAATGTTGTTTTTACTTATGAGTGGCAGGTAATGCTTGAGTAGGAGTAGCCGCCCATTTGTGGGAATGGGGACTGTGTGTGTGTTTTGGACTCACACAACCTTACGTCTGCGCTGGAGGGAAACAAATTTGGATTTATAATATAGGGGTCTACAGAGACTCCTGTTTGTCACTGTTGGCATGCTGTGGAGTGTTTTCAGTGTCCATTAGCATTCCAGGCCTGTCCTTTTCCCAGAGATGCAGATTCCTCGGAATGGGATTCTTAGAGGCCTCCTTGCTGGGGCTCTTTAGGAGTGGGCTTAATGAGAGAAGCCCTCTATTTCAGGTGACATACTGTATCAGCCAGCAGCCTTCTCTCTGCTGCAGGCCTTTACCCAGAGGAGCCCAGCCTCCATCAGCCAAGAGACTCTCTGTAATTATCAGTGCAGCTGAGACGGATCAGCTTTTACTGCAGTCAGAGACTCAGTCCAAGTCCTGTCTCCACTCTCCAGCTCCTCTCTGTGTGTGTGTGTGTGTGTGTGTGTTAGAAGTCAGTGGTTGACCCAGGCTGGACTGCTCCTACCCTGTACTCCCCTGTCTCTGACTTGTACTGGCAGGCAGCTGGACAAGGGCCACAGCTAATTTCAGCTCATACCAGAACATGATGTTTTATTGAGTTTTCTCACCACATATAGAGCAGGCTAACTGAATAAATAAAAGTAGTAGTTTATGACGAAGTGTCCCAGTTGATTCTCTTCCAAATGTTACTGAGGTTAATGTTTTTCTGCAAATGAATAATAAAGAAATACATTAGGGTAGGGTTCATGTAATTTTAGAGCCACATTTAGGGATAATGTAATGTTTCTCATTCTCTGGAACAAAATGGGTCCCTCCCACTATCTCTTGCGGGCCAAATCACAGTATGTCCTACGCATAGTTGTTATTGTGTAACTTGAAAACTCAGCAATTCAAAATGCATAATCTAATATTGCCATTGGAGGTGGTGTTCTGATGTGATATTTACATTTTAGTCATTTAGCAGACGCTCTTATCCAGAGCAACTTACAGTTAGTGAGTGCATACATTTTCATACTGGCCTCCCGTGGGAATCGAACCCACAACCCTGGCATTGCAAGCGCCATGCTCTACCAACTGAGCTACACTGTAGAATGTAAGGTTTTACAGTCCTGTCCAGTCATCTATTGTGTTTTTACTACTGATTAAAAATTATTCAAATTTCTGGCTATGTGATATACTTTCAGGAAACATTGAGTACTAACTCTCTCTGTTTCTGTGTCTCTTTCAGTATGGCAACGTTTTAAATGTTCTCATATCAAGTAAGAAGAGAGGAAGTGCTGTGGTAGAATTTGAAACCGTCAAAGCAGCTGTAAGTATTCTGTTTGTTTCAGAATTGATACACACTCATTTCATCTCAATTCGTATTGAAAAGTCACTGAAATCAATCAATACCCACCAGCTTTTACTTATTGGGCTTTATTACTATTTGGTTTGCACTGAGCACTATGCGTCTCACCAACTTCCCAGCCCAAGGCCCCCCATGATGACATTTTGATGAGTCTCTGTGCGTTGACAGAACAGGGGAGTTGACAGAACAGAGGAGTGTTCTGATGGGAACCAGGAGAACAGAAGGGCTGAGCCACCTCATTGTTCAGACTGTCTGAGTCCTCTGCCCCTTTGTTGTCGTGTGCTGTTTTGTTGTGGGCTCTGGTGTGCCGTGTGGTTCCCCTCAAGAGAACATATCTGCTGTCCCCTGGGGAGCCAGACTCGGGGCCTGTGGTTTCAGTCTCTCTGTCTGGAGATCTCAGGGTCCTTGCGCTGCTAGGGGGGTTGGGGGTATCTAAAGTTCACCCCACGTGTGTTTCAAATACACAATACAAAACCCCACACAAACTCCATGGAACTGAAAGGAGTAGAGAGGTTGATGGGGGAAAGAATGGCTTGTCAGCAGGTCATGTCACACTGGGTCTAACTCTACTCCTTTGTTTTCTCCAGGAACTGGCATATAAGAACGAGAGTGGCGTTACAGCAAACCCACTGAAGATCTCGTGGCTTGAGGGACAGCCTGAAGTCATCACCCCAGTTGTGTCGCAGGTTCAGCAAACAACTGGACAGTACTTCCCGCCTATACAGGTATGTAACCAGGGGCAACCTTCACCACGAGCAGGGCAACCTCTCCCCAACCTGAATGTGCTTAGACCTAATTCTCCTCCTCTCCCATCAACGATAATGTAAGCCCTATGTTACCAAATATCCCCATGTACTTGGCGTTCAATCAAAATAACATTTCTTAAAACGATCCCGTAAAGAGAAGTATGTAAACGTCTGCAGTTTTATTTTCGTATCAGTGAGCAAATATTGCCCCGGCACTTGCACTATGGCTCAGGGCAATGTGTTTGGTTAAATGGGCTTAGGTTTGTTTGGCTTGGAGAAGCAGTGTGTTGGCCCGGCGCTGGCCCGTTCCCCAGCCCATGGCCCGCCTCTCATTAAGGGCTGACCCACCAGGGAGACCCATGGAATGCCTCGCTCCATCAGAACCACACAGTGACCCGACCTGACCAGCGTGCCGTAATAGCAGGCTGGCACAAGAGGGTGACTACCCCTTTCTCTCTCTATCCAGAGTGGTGCCCAGCCCAGCAGTCCGTCTGCCCACCTTTTTGCTAACCTCCTGGTCGGCTTTCATCACGTACTGGCACTTTGGAGGCCTTTTCCAGTCAGAGAAATGTTGCAGCACAGTTGGAAAATGTAGGTGGAGGATGAAGGTGATCTGAGTCAGTTTGAGGATTACAGGACATTTCAGCTCCTCTCTTGTCATGAGCTAGACATGACTCAGTCTGTCTCAATGTCCATAATCACCATTACTTAGTTTCAGTGCTGTGGTCATTTAGGACTAATGATATTAAAATTGACTTTGTTTTATAAAGAGATTTTCCATACATTTCCTTTAAGCTGTGCTGTATTTGGGTTTGGGTCTGCATGGTTTTGGACCAGTAGACTCTCCCTCCCCAGAGCTGCTGATAAACTGTTTCACCTCTCAACCCACCACAGCACAGTGACTCAGGCCCCTCGTCAGGGTTAGCACTCCACGCAGGGTTCACAGCCCTGCCTACTCACTCAGACTTGTCAGAGTAATATGTTTTCATGTTATTATGGTAACCGGTTTTGCCTTACACATATCCAACGCAGATTGCTTCATCTCTCGCAGAGCTTTTCAAGGCAGAGAACGAAAACATGATTATGGTAGTGTAATTTTCACATTAGCCCTCAGTGAGAACGCTTCTCACTAAAGAGGCCTACATGACATAATGGGGATCCAGTGAATATGAGTAATATTGTCCCATATGGCCCGGGTCACTGGAGACTGGGGAGAACCATGGAGGTCCTGAGGAGTCTGTCTGGGTTCCAGAACACTGCTTTTCTCTCTCTTTCCCTTTGCCTCCGCTCCCTCTCCCTCTCTTTCTTCATCTCCCTTTCTCTCTCTTCCAATCTCTCCCCCTTTCCTTTTCCTTCTTTCTCCCTTTCTTTCTCTCGCTCCCTTTCTCGCTCTCTCTCCGTCACTGTGACCAGTTGCGATCACAGAGGAGCAGCGGTGCTGATACCTGCTTTTTAACCTCATCAATCCAGCCCCAGCACAGCAGGGAGCCCAGGGACACACATTATTTCACACTCTGCTCCACTCTGTTTAATAAGAGAATCTGCTGGGCCCACACGTCCCAAGAGGCCCCTGGGGGCCCCTACTATCACACACTGGACTGTAGCAAAGTTTGACAGATAGAGCCTGAAGTGACATGTATGAGCAATGTTGTACTGCTGTGCTGAGTGATTCTCTAAGCCTGTGAATGATACAGGCTCTCTGTAAGACATGGGTGTGTTGTCAGGCGTTTCACCAGGAGGGGACACCATGTAGAGACAATACACTACGTTCTTCTTAACATTAATGATCAAGCAGGGTAAGGAACAGAGGCCCTGTCCCGGCCAGGCCATGGTGCAGAGAATTGCTCCCCTTGCTCCAGACTGATTTAAATCCCTTGTATTTGGATAGGATTTAGTTTCACCTCCTGAGTGTGCTATGTTTTGTATCACTGCCCCATGCAATAATACATTCCCATAATGAGAGGTTGTGAAATGAGTAGGTTTATGAAATATATGTATGGTAAATAATTCTGTGGTATAGTGCTGTTTTCTAACAGTCAGCGTTCTTTTCTCAGTCTCTGACGTTTGATGAAAAGTTTTATTGAATGGCAGTGTAATGTACACAGTTAGCTACGTGTCTGCTCCAGAACTTCTGAGTGGATTACGTAAATTGTAGATAGAAAGAAAGAAAGAAAGAAAGAATAAACTATACTGTAGCTACATAGATGTAATGGTAGGGACAACTGTGTGATGTGTGTTAATGGTGGTTAGCATGACAATGGAAAGTACAGAGTTTAATTATGGTGAATGAAGTGTTAGAGCTGTCCCCCAGAACTCCTCACATTTGCTGTCAAACTACAGGGATTCACACAGTGTCAATATTACTCATAGTTCAGCCTTTACCTCCCAGAATCTCTGGAGTTTGATGTCCACATTCAACCATCTGTATCCTATTCCCTATCAGAAGAACTTGTAGTATAATCATGTCTTTGGAAGTCATACATCATTGTGTCCCCAATTTAGAACAATAGTTTAGCATATTTTATTTTTAGAGTATTTATTCTGATAAAGACTTATCTCAGTGCTTGATACAGCTCTGTTTATTTAATCTTCGAGGAATCTTCGACTTCGAGCCTGTCACGACATGAACCAGATCTAGCGTTTCATCTATTCTTGGATGGTTTTTCCATCATATCGGAACTGCTAGCTTCCTTTTGCTGAATAAAGTGCAAGCTCACCTAAAATAGCCCTAAGTCTGTCTGGGCCCTGGTATGCTGAGTGTAGTCTTGCTGCAGCTGGCTGTAGCGCTGGCTCTTTCCGGACGGAGATAACAACTTCTAGTGTTCTGACTTCCTGGAAGAGGCCGTTTAGAGATCAAAAGGACTAATATAGCAGATTGGTTAATTTACATCTGTTGCCAGCTGTTATCAGCATGAATTCATTTAACTGCTTTAGCTTGGACAGGGAATAGAGAAGGAGGTGGCGAGATAACTGGACTATCTCAATGAGATCTGGGAGCACTGGAAACCCCTGCATTCTTCTTCATGGAACAGTTAAAAGGAGCAAAGGGGCATGGGATGCTGTTTCTACATTGCTAACTCAGTGTTTTTCCTATGTGGACTAAAGTTGCACATTGCATGTGAACTTGATCAACTCTCTTGCTTGTTTTAATCACTGGATGTTGAACTTTTGAGATCTTTGATGGTTTTGTCTTCTTCCCAAGGTCTTACGATGCCCAAGTGTATCATGGATATCATGCGAAGCAGTGCTATTGTGCTGCCTTGGCCCTAATTCGTCTTTAAATGGGAGAGAAATGTGTGAATCTGTAGCTCTCTAGTGTGTCCTGACACTATGCAGAGTTCCATAAACAATATCAGTTTCAGAACCGCCCCTCACGCTGCAAACCCCAGTGAAGCGTGTTGCATATTTTCAGTAGCATTAGGTTGCGCTGCCAGATGCAATTACAGTAGGAGTAGGAATGTATCAGTTGTCAAAACAATATTCCCCCCCCAAATTTAAAAAAAAAAAAAAAAATCCACCATCTTTTGTAAGATGGCAGGCTTTTGTGGTATTCTGTATGATAGCAAGTTTGGACTTTTGGGGAAAAGTGGTACCAGATGGGATGGGGTACCTCACAGTTTAAAATGTTTGGTCATTTTTGCACAGCGGCAACATAATTTGTCATCCAATTACATTTCTTCTCACATCAGTGTGAGTTTGGGCATTTGTTGAGAATAACTTTACGTGACCCCTCTTGCGGAGAAGCCCATTGCAGACGATGGGGTGTCATATGGTCTTTGGACAGTGTGTGTGAGTTCTGTTTGTGTCTGATTACTATGGTATGATGGAGGAAGGAGACAGTAGGCCCACTGTCCCAGAGGCGTGTTATGCCATTGTGGAGAGTCTGGGTAAGAGGCCATGTAGATCTGGGCACCAGAGCAAATTATATCAAAGTCCTTAACCTAGAAAGCCAAGACATCACATCTAGCCTAATAAGGGCCAGGTAAACTGTCCCAGTTAACGTTCATTATGAATGGATTGCTTGTTCTGTTGATCCAAGTTAAGTGGAGAATAAAGGTTGACTTCGTCAAGCCACACCTTAAGCTATTCAGTAACCTCTCTGTGATGCAGGTGTGCTCCACGCTGTTCATCATAGCAATTCAGTGCTTCCCTCAAGTTCCAGTTTTATATAATAGCAGTAACTTTCAAAGTAAACCCGTCTGAATTAATGGATGGTTCAGTTGGCTTGGAATGTATGTCTAATTTGTGCCCACATGTCGGTCTCTGACATGAACTAGCTACTTCTAGTTGTCTCATGTAATGTAAGGTGTAATTCCTCAGACAGGGCTTTAATATGGCCTCTATGGCGGCTCATCACTGTTAGAAAACCAAACATCTCTGTCAGTCCATCAAAGTGTGTAAACAGTATTATACAAGCCATCTAAAATGTTGATGCGAGTAATTCTTTCCCCAAACCACTGATCTTCCACACAGTTAAAAGGGTTACAGAACACACTGGTCTAACAGTGTTTCACAATGTGTTATTATTCTCATAAAACATACAATACACTGAAAGACATAACAATTGGTTTTCCTGAAAGATGCATGAAATGGATATAAAGTACAGATGTACCCACAAACTTCAGTGCCTCCATTGGATTGTTGACGTGCAAACGCTGTTTAACTGTCTGCCAGCAGCAGGACACTCATGGCTAGTGAAGTTCTCTGTAGTGCCTGAGGGACCCCTGGAATGTGACTGCTTTTGGCTTTGCCCCACTAATTTCCTTTCCTGACAGCCCCCCGCTGTGGTGCTGGCTGTGGCTCTCTCCCAGCTCCCCTGGCAGGTGGGTGAGTGGGCCCAGGACTGGGGGTGATGGGGGGCGCGTCAAGCCCTGTTTATTCAGCAGGTATTGTTTAAACTCTCATCAGGAGCCTTGCTGGTAATGGATGGCTCTGGTGCCCAGCCTCCTCGGCCCTAGCAGCACATGTGGAAGTATCACATTACCCCTCGCCACTTTCCCCTCTCGTGCCACTCATCAGAGCGAAGGACTCCGATTTACAGCTAAGAAAACAGTGCCGGGGTTTTGGGGCTCGAACCTGCGGCCTGGCTGAGGTTGCAGCCCGCCAACCACCGGCTTTATTGGAAGCAGAGCTAAGTGTTTGTTTTCACTGTGTTGTTGGCAAAGAGAGAATGGGGGTCCTTCGTGCACCTTCGAGTGGGGCCTCTAAGATGCGTGCAGAGAAGAGATTACCCTCCCCACACAACGGAATGGCAAGGATGCCAATACGTCACAGCTTCAGGACCTTGAAAACTAAGTGTCAAATCAAATTGTATTTGTCACATGCGCCGAATACAACAGGTGTAGACCTTACAGTGAAATGCTTACTTACAAGCCCTTAACCAACAATGCAGTTTTAAGAAAGAATACCAAAAAAAAAAAAAAGAAATATACAATATAAAATAATATGAAATAAAAGTAACAAATTAAAGCGCAGCAGTAAAAATAACAATAGCGAGGCTATATACAGTGTGTACCGGTATCGAGTCAATGTGTGGGGGCACCAGTTAGTCGAGGTAATTGGGGTAATATGTACATGTTACGGTACCGGTACCCCCTTTATATGTTACGGCTCATTCCATTCACCAGTTCCGGAGGTCTACGTCACCGGTAGGCGTCACTGACATGGATCATTACCACCAACCCCGGACTGTCTTGTCTCATTACGCACACCTGGTTCCCATTCCCTCTGATTAGATAGGGCGGCAGGTAGCTTAGTGGTTAAGAGCATTGGGCCAGTAACCGAAAGGTCGCTGGTTCTAATCCCCGAGCCGACTAGGTGAAAAATCTGTCGACGTGCCCTTGAGCAAGGCACTTAACCCTAATTGCTCCTGTAAGTCGCTCTGGATAAGAGTGTCTGCTAAATGACTAAAATGTAAATGTATTAGTATGTGTATATATGTGCCCTCTGTTCCCCATTGTCCTTGTCTATTATTGTCCGTTGGTCTCGTGAGTACCGTGTATTGTGCTCTTGTTGTTTACGAGTCTCGTCCCGTGTATTGTGTAGAGGTTACACCTCGCTCTTTTGTTTGGGTTACAGCCCTCTGTTATATATATACGTGTTTGTTTTGGGCTTCGTCCCCGTCGTTTTCCATGACGTACCTTGTGTTGGGTGGAGTAAATAAAACCCCTAATACGTATTCCTGCGCCTGTCTTCTAATCATTATACAATGTTATTTTTTATTTCTTTAATATTACACTCTTAATTCCAACATTAATCACATAAAGAGATCCATAGAAAGGACAAAAAGCAGCCATCTGAAAATGCCTACTTTACTTTTTGAACAGCTTAAAGGTCCAATGCAGCCATTTTTATCTCAATATCAAATAATTTATTTGTAACAATTAAGTACCTTACTGTGATTGTTTTAAATTAAAATGGTCAAAAAGAAACAAAAATAGCTTCTTAGCAAAGAGCAATTTCTCAAGCAAGAATTTAGCTATGGCTGTCTGGGAGTGTTCTGAGTGGGAAGGGGAAAACTGAAAACTAGCTGTTATTGGCAGAGAGGTTTGGAACTCTTTCTTATTGGTCGTAACTAATTTACCACCTGGTGACATCACCAGGCAGGCCAAAACTCCATCCAACCAAAACAGGCTGAAATTTCAGGCTGTCTTTTTAAACAGCTCTTACACCAAAAGGGCATTATCATAATTTTCACAATTTCACAGTATAATTACAACCTCATAGTGTTGAAATATATATAAAACACAGGAACATCTGGTTTTTGACTACACTGGGCCTTTAAGGTAAATAAGGTGCTAAATGATTAACTAGACTATGTAACATTTTATCTAATGCTGCAATAAGTAATGCTAGAAGAACATTAACTTTGTCCATTAGACTGTATGTGGTTGAACCCCTGAAGGAAGAATTCCAACGTTAACCCTTAAACACTCATTCTGATTATATTACTGTATCATAGAAACAACAGATGGAAAGTCAAGAAATTTTCAACAAATTAGCGTACAACTCAATCATGAGAAGCGTTCTGTCAGTATGAAAAATGTATGCACTCACTAACTGTAAGTCGCTCTGGATAAGAGCGTCTGCTAAATGACTAAAATGTAAATGTAATAATAATCTACTGTAGATAACAAACATTTTTCAAAACAAAATGAGAGAAGGGATAAGTTAAAGTCGATGACCTCACATGAAATGGAAGAGATCCCTTTGTAGTTACAGTTCTGTCCACAAATCATCCATTACTCTTCTTAAATCCATAGCATCTGTTTTAGCCACAGTCAGCTAATCCAAAAGAATGAGATTATATCCCCATGGTCTTTTAAATGTTCTGACACGGTGTATGTTTACATGCACTAATAATTCGATATTAAACTGATTGGCAGTAGGCAGATTATGCATTAGTCATAGAAAAACCTTACTCTGCTTATCTTAATCGGTGTGAGGTCATAATCGAAGTAAACGTACAACAATTAAACCACCTGGTTTTCTGAGCTATCTTTCAAATTATTAGGGCATGTAATGCCTTAATCAGAGTTATAGCAGTGTATTTGATCTGCGCATGTGCTAGCACGAGCAGCGCAAGCGTCCTTATTTTGCGCGAGTGAAGTGAGTTCGGAAAAACTGAAAAGTATTCATATTATAAATAGTTTTCATGTATAAACTCAGAATCAAATATGCTTCACAAAAATAACATGGTCGCTGTGGTAGAACGTTTATTTTGATTGGGGATTTTCTGCATTTATCATCAAGTAGCCTGATTGCAGATGTGTCCATGTAAACAGGATTATTAGGGAAATTGTTCTTCTTGCAAAGCATGTAAACGTTTATTCAAACTATTATATTAATCTGACTATTCACAATAATCGTATTATTGTGTGCATGTAACCGTACTCTCTGCGTGTCTCTTTTAGTCAGGAGTTCTTTGTCAGCCGTTCATCTTCTTATGATAGTTTGGAGTGTTCTAATGCCAGTCACAATGATGACGTTAGTGAAGTCTCTTGCTGAGGACCCATGTTTGTCTGGCAGTTCCACTAATAGTGGAGCCTGTCCATGACCTGCAGCACATCATCCAGGATGGAGGGGCCCAGGTCCAGGCTGAAGGAGAAGCTGTTGTCCACCTCATCCAGCTGCTGCATGTCCTCAGGGTAGGTCTGAGTGGAGTCTCCATCCCTGCCAGAACTCAGGCTGCCCTGGCCAGGACTGGGGCTACTGACCATGAACCTGTGGCTGGGGCTAACACTAGCCTCCATCTCCTGATTCCCCTCACCCTCCTCACTGTCCAGCAGGGGCAAGGAGCTGCACTTCTTCCTCCTCTCTGAGGCACTGTAGCTCATGTGAGCCCTGGTCCACTCGGGGCTCTCCGTGGCCTCTGCCTCGTCCAGGTTAAGGCGTGAGGGTTTGTGTGGAGGGTAGCAGGCCAGCAAGAGGTTCTGCTCACTCTGAGAGCTCTGCAGCACCAGGCTGTTGCCCCCCTTCAGAAAGGACAGATCCCCGAAGCTGTCGCTGTGGTCGTTGTTCCCGATGTGGGAAACATGGCGGAAGTCGGCCAATGGGAGGCTGATCATGTTGACAGAGAGCACCTCCCTGCGCTTCTGGGTCCTCCTGGACCAGCGGGCCGAGGCTGGCTTACGGTACAGAGACGTCGTCAGTGGCATCTTACCAGGTCCTGTTGAGATGTCCTTTGGTTCACTTCTGAGATGAACTGAGACGAAGCTTAAAGGCAGTTTACCATAAAGAAAAATAAAAAAAGAAGAAGAAATATTAAAATTGTTTCACTTTGAGGTTAGGTTCATGTCAGATCAAGTGGTTTCCCATCAACAACACATCATACATCTCTGATCTGATTATCCAGGTTTACTTTCATCATGCTGCAGCCTACGGGATGTGCAATATTTGTTTCCCTCTGCTGTCCAACACCAGATGTAACCCTTGGATTATGTCAAGTTTAATGTGACAAGGCAGCAGCTTTAGAGAATGCACCTGCTCTGCTTGGTTTTGTGTTAATACGATTCACTATCATTTGTCTCCTGGGAGATGGTCCAATACGTACTTAGAAGTGTTTTGATTTTAAATGTTTACTTTTCAAATCCAGTTTATTCCCATAAATGCAGGTGTGGTCTGCTGAATGCACCAAAGGAATGGCTAAGCCTGATTCTGACTTCCAGTAACCATGCACCAAATATGCACATTCCAGAGCAGACACAACATCCTCTATATCTATATGAGACATGTCACCATACCCTCTGGCCCCCTTTCCTGTCAATTTGTCAGGCAACTCCAGGCTTTGCTCTCACTTCTTAAACAGTAGTTATTTTATGAATGGGGTGGAATTTGGTACGTGTTGAGAGACAAAGCTCAGAGACACAGTATGTGTATTCATCTTTATTTATTTATCCTCATCTTTAGATCTGTTGATCTGGTTTAGTGGTCACAGGTAGTCAGCCTTTCCTGTTATGCTGGATCCAGATAAGATCAGATTCTACAACTCTTGATTAGAGAGTTGTGTGGCAATACCTGACAGCATTTTGTTATGATTGTGATATATGTAGAATTTAACTGGAATATGACTTTCACATGCTATAAATGGTGTCAAACTGTTGTCTTTTTTTCTCAAATAGCGCACTTTGTACAATGATAATTTAGAAGTTAATCTGTACAGTATCAAGCTCAGTTATCTGTAAACAATGGGCCTTGAACAGCTACCACCATTTAAAAAGCAAGGGCATAAAATATATTACATAAAACAACTGTACAAACTGAGGAAAGTGTGGCTCTGAAAATATTGTTTAAATCCATTATAGTTTGTGTAAGCGCTAGGACCAAAACGCAAAATAAAATACACCTTATTCTA